GTGCGGGCGGCGGGAGGGCGAGATTGGCGTGGGGCGTTGGGGAGCGACATTGTGGTCTGTGGGGTGGGGGGTGTTAGTGGATGTAGGTAGAGCTTGCAGATGGGGGGGGGGGGGTACGGACTAGCTTAGCTGGCTGTTGCGGGCGCCCAAGAGGTCCCGGGAGGTGAGGTAAACAGACAGATCGAGCAGTGTCTATCCACCCACAGACCGGAGGCAGATAGAGATAGATAGATAGGGTCTATGGCGTAATAGCGATAATCAACCCTTACGCTGCTGCTGCACAGGAATGGTAATTATACAACCCACTCGGTCACTCAGAGCAAGAGTAGGAAAGCAAGACAAGGAGAAGAAGGAAGAGGAGAGAAAGAAAGAGAGAGGTGCACGGAGGGTGAGTAAGTGATCGGAGGGTGAGTGAGGTGACACATGTAATACTGGCGACACGCTGGAGCAGAGAGCACGAAGCCCACAGGCTAGGGAAAACAGGCGGTGTGAGGCACTCACGCGACCCGCACAGAGTGCGATATACCTAGAAACAACCCTGAGCACAAACGAACGAAGTATTCGAATGAGAGTATATGACTAATTGCACTCAGAGAACCCTGCTAACACCGGAGAGTGAGCGTTATGATGCAATCATGGTGATCGTGGACCGACTAACAAAGATTCGAACACCTTCTAACCTACGAATCGGAGCGGAAGAAGACATACAAACTAAACCACAGTAAGTCCGTCCAATAACGAACACAAAGCAAATGCGAAGTGAGAACGCACTCACACCGAGTTAGGAGAGTGAACGATCGGGACCCGTCCTCCCGTCGTGGGCGAGAGAAAAGGAAATTGAGGGAGCTACTAGCACTTAGACGATTGAGAGCGTGTGTGAGATGGACCGTCCAATGGGCTGTCGTGGTAACGATTGTAGCAATATTTAACAATCCACGCCAAGTCGGAGTGTGAGGGAGGTGTCACTCCCCACCGTGGGTTCACGGCAAGCTAACAGGTCAACCTAGAGAGATCGCACACACGGAGAGTAAACAGAACACCATAGACTATTCAGATTCAAGTCAGTCGCCAACACAAACAAACTCGGCTCTGCGTTGTTTTCTCGCATGCTATCCAACATTTCCTCTTCTAGCAATTCTTCATCCATTTTGCGAATTGGAGCGTGCGAGCCATCACATGTCCCATTCCGATCTTTATCTACTTCTACACGACCGGCCACCACCATCTCACGCGCACCTCCAAAGCGGCACCTTCCGCGCATATGAAGCGAGGGGAGTGCGCTCAAGACGCCTCACGAGCGTACTGAGTGAGACGGGTAAAGAAGGTTTGTTGAATGCTAGTGTTGCTGAGTGTATGATAGTTCCTTATATGCAATAGCAGGGTTGACCTGAAACGTGGGTCGAGAGATATGGCACTCGCTACTTGTCCTTGTCGGGACAATGGTCTATCTAATGCTACAGCACTACGAGCAAGAGTCTTCCCCGGAGAGTGAAGCGCGGAGCTGCGTCACACATGGCACAAGGTATATCCACCTCCTTCACTCGGTCGGCATCCTCTCCTGAGCAACGCAAAACCTGTGCCGCTCTTTCCATCTTGCTCCTCCTCCGAGACGATCACTCACCAACTTCTCCTCTGACGCAACAAGCACATCGTCCCTCTCAATCCGAACACCCCTCTCCCCCCTCTCCCACCCTCCTGGTAAGCTACGACAAGACGACCCACCGCAGTACTCTAGAGCACAATTTAAGCGGGGAAATAAGGGCTACGCCTCGCTAAAACAACCCTCGCTTAAGTGCCTGAGGCGAAGGGTAAGTAGAGTAGGACCTGCATGGGCGGCGCGGGCCGGACGCACGAAGGGCTGCGTATGCGATGATGGCGCGAGAGGACACGAGTGATGCGGTACAGTCCGGAAAGATGTCGTATTTGGTGAGCTCCCCATTGAGGAGTAAACCTCTGATAGCAGCACCATCACCGGCCTAAGCCACATTACAATGGCACACTAAAGAGCCGAGCACAAGTGAAGGCAGGAACGCACCCAACGGGAGCTAGAACGATCGAACGCGCCCCCTCGGCTGTAGAGCGTCGCGCAGATAATGAGTGCAAAAGAGTGGTAGAATGGTATGCGGTGATTGACGTCGCGAATTTGCAGAGTGCAGCGGTCTTCAATGTTATTCTACGCGTTAACGCCATATAGCGAGTCGCGTTGCTAGCACTAAACCGATGACCGGCTTGCGTTCGTTCGTTTATACCGCTATGAAAGCTCGATCTTGGGAAGACAGGCTTGGAACCTCGTGTACCGCCGGGACATCGAGGAAGGGCGCTGATCTCCCATGGGTCGATAGAGATGTATGCTGCCGCGCACGTTTTTTCGCCCCTTTCTTTCTTCGCCAAACACACATGCCTATCGAGTCGACTCTACCCCCGGAAGCAATGAAAGATGCAGCCGCTGTCTTTCAGTGTCGGCTATTTATCCAAGAGCTAGTATCTCATGACCATAGGACCCAGCTAAAGAGATGTTTTCCACGCACCACCGACCAACACATGAGGCTCGGGACGCCCCCCAGACCGCGGAATGGTCTTTTTTCCGCTCTGGTGCGGTGCGCACCTGCGCCGCGATGCATGAACGTGCTTTTTTGACTTCAATATCCAGTGCGAGAGAAACAAGCCCATGTCTCGACATCTCGCAACGCGCTTATATCCAGATGTCACGATCGATATCATAGGGGAGGTAGCTGGAATAATACGATATGTCAGTAACCGAGACGAATCCTACGTTGAGCGATCTGCTACGCGCGGACAAACGCGAACAAATGGACTATAGTCAACTAACTGTGTGTACGTGTCTCAGAGACTGAGAGATGGCAGTGGTATGTTAGCACACACAAGGGGCGGAAAAGCAACCTCACATAGATGGTACTGGTCACCCCACCCCACCCGTCCCGCGCACTCACAGAAATTCGGAATGCCGCATCCACTCGTTGGATTTTGGATGTAGTATATTCCCAGTTTAGCAAATATAACAGTGGGCAATATAGCAATATAGATAGCATGGAAACCAACAACTTCCGGCCCTCCCGAGTAGCTGAGGTACCCTACGAGCCTACCCTAAATGGCAGATCGAAGATCTTTCTCAAGGCAGCGTATGCTCGAAGCGACACGTGGGGTGTGAGAAGTATCACGAGGGCACGCGACAGTCGTGAGATGTCAACAACAAGGACAAAAAAGTATGCTCTGATCTGCGACAACTCGTGAGCCAAGGATCGTCTACGAGTACGAGTGCCCTAGCACTGGTATAGAATAAGCGCGGGGGCTACTTTACATTCATGTAGGGTACCATCGTCGATACACGATAATGGTCTGAGTCCTGGTTTACGAATGAGGTTTTACATGTTATGTATGCAGTCGCACAAGAGACACACATAGTATTGGTAAGAGGTACAGGGAGGCGACAGGTATCCCATCGGCGTAATCGTTTTGTGGACTATTTTCTGTAAATCGTGTGCGGCCGTTGACGCGTAAGGATGTGCACGAGTGCATCATCATTTGTGGAGAGTTAGTCAATCAGTTAAGGGATATTTCTCCTTGAGTATATGGAATGCTTTATCAGATAGAGGGCTGCTCCTTAGCTCTCGTTCCTGTGTTTCAACTTTCTCTTCTTACATTTCTTTTTAACAAATCATAAAATCAGTCTTCTCGTATCAATCTACTCTAAACACTTTGTTCGTTGTTCTGACGCCTTACAGGTATGAGGCATTATAAAAAAACCGACAATACCCTCTAAGGTCTTGAACGACACTTGCTTATATATATCTAGACCTCGGTTTACCACATACGCGCTGTTTACCTCACTCCAAGCGTAGAGTAAAAGTGGTCAATTCTCTTGCTTCTCCTGTCCATCAGACTGCATGACCCTGCAACCTTGCGTCACTGAACGTCCGATATGACTCCGATGGTGACTCTGATCATAATTATTTCAGACATGACTTATTCTACTGTCGCATATCGTCACCATCTGCCAACCGAGTGTTAGCATCAACTTATTCAGTCCCTGCCCCTCGCCAACACACTTTACGAGAGCTATTGCCCTTGATCATTGTTTCTTATATATTTGGTATGATTAGTGTGAAGAGTCCAAACCCACCTCGTGTCAGACGCGAGGATCCATCTTCTGAAATCTTGAACGACTTGCCCTCTCTCCACTCTCTCCCCCCACCTCACCTTCCTCTATGTACACTGTTGTCATTCTGCTTTCTCTCCCCGGTGCGCGGAGAATCCGCAACTCTCCTTCCTCAGAACCGTTTGGCGCGCGTGCGCGCGCCTGATTATCGCGTAAAACTTTGACTGTATGGAAGAGTAATCGTGTTGTATTAGTGTGTATATTTAATTATTCTAACAGTAACCCGATAAGCGAGAGATCGCTGTGCTCGGGGAGAAGTTATCTCAGAATTCTCCGGCTTCCTCTGTATATCACTCTTTCTATCGGTGTAAGCACTGTGAGTCGCTAGTTGTCACGCTGGTGCGCGATCGAGGATTGTGCAAGGTAAGAGTAAGGTGCAAGTGCAGTGCGGTTTGTCGTACGATCTAGTGAGGATCTATATTCTGGTCAGACTTGCTACGATATCCTCCTAAGCCTTGTTAAGAGTGCTAGCATCACTGATCTAATCGTGCGCAGAATAGTAGTTATATTGTATCATTCAAATACATGTAGTTTCCAAATCAACACACGAGCGAGCACGAGGAAATTCAAACCTGAGTATGTAGTGGAGACTGTATAGCTGTTTTTTATTGTGCGCGTGTGCTATTACCAGATCGTGGTCTTGCGGACACCGGCCTAACCTATTCGGCTAACAGAGTAGGCGATATCATCTGTTCTACTATCCATCGGTATAGCATTCTCAGATGCATCTGGTCATCAAGTACGTTACATTCCTCATCCTAACTCTGCATAATATCTTGACACTTTCCACTCATATCGATGTCCAGGCATCGTAGCTTTGTTGTTAATAGTTTAAAGGTTTTCCCATTCCCAGCTGTTCGGCAGTGGTTGGACGGTATGCACGCATCTCGTCTTCCTCCACTATAATTATGTTGTCTAGCTCATTCTCGAATTCATCGTAGTCGATATCTTTAGCGAATGGATGCTTTTGCCTCCCAATCTTTATGTGGAATTGATCTATATCGCCCAAATCGTCGCCCCCTGCGTTCGGTTCGTTATTTTGGGGGGGCGATGAGAAAGGGGGTGGTGATGTGTTGGGAAACACCGATACATTTCGGAAGAATTGCAATCGATCGTCAACGGGGCTTGGGATTTCTGCATACTCTTCGGGTTCTTCGACAGGGCTAGTTAGTAACATTGGAGGCGGGTGTTTTCGTGAAGACTTGATTTGAATTTTTTGAGCGACTGCAGGTTGGTTGTGTTTAGGTTCTTTGGATGTCGCATTGCCGGCAACGTCCGGTATAGTCTTTCTCGGATAGTACGAACAGGCCTGTCCATATTTTGTTCCTCGTCGTCCGAAAGAACTCTAACGTTAGATTTTGGCGCGTTCTTCTGTACCTTGGCCTTCTTACGTTGGTCAGCAGCTTTTGAGGAAGTTTTGGAAGGTTTAGATCTTTTTTCTCCATCGTCGTCTTTATGCCGGCGGTTATACGACCTCACCCTATCTCAGCAAAGCGTTCGAATAACGTCCCTTGTAACCGCCCTGTTCCATTCCCATGCCGGAGGTGCAAGTTGCGTAATTGCCTTGATCGCGGGGTACATCTTCATTTCATAGTCGTAAGACTTGAACTTTTGCCGTAGATGCATGCCCCCTCTTGATGCACTCGTCCAAAACCCAAGCTCTGCGTTCCCTCTTTGCTCTTTCCGTTTGTAATTTGCTATCACTTAGAACGCCCATCCGGCAGTTGAGGTCGTTTCTGAAGTTAGGGGAGTTGACATCGGTTACGTACTCAGGCAAATCGTCATCGTCGTTGTCAAGAGCTGCCTGCTGTGATGTATTGATAGAAGTTGGAGGAGGACGTACGTCGATGGGAGCAATCGCTCTCCCGGGAGCGTTCGGAGGAAGAATTGCAATAGATTTAGAGGTTTTATAGTTTGTTGTTCTCTGGGAAGTTGTTGACTTTCGGATGCGTGGATTGGAGGGGGGCTGAGAATTTTCCATTTCCTCCCTGCCATACTCGTCTTCCTCGTCTTCCTCGTCCTCTCGATGGCTTCGTTCGGATGTTCTAGATGTAGCAATCGAAAGATTTCGATTGACTCTCAATGAGTCATCGCGCTGCGCTCGTTTGCTGAGTCGCGACGTGTCTGATTCTGAGAAGGACGCCCGCTTACGGCCATTCGTCTGCGAAGTTTCCTGTGAAGTTGATGAGCTTGATGCCGAAAGTTCTACGCGATCTATCGAGGCAGGTTAGGAGAGGGTCGTGGAGGGATATATGAGTCTAGCCAGCCGGCCGTCCAACAATCTGGCGACATTACCGTTCTCTTTCGGAATCCCATTGCTCTTCGGAATCTGGGTTGGTTGTGAGTCTTTGTGCTGGGCCTCCAGCATTCGCATCTCTTCCCGAATCTTGGCATCGTATTTTGCCCTCAAGGCAGCGCGTTTTTCCTCCAATGTAGCCATAGCAATGATGATTTAATGAGAGTTAAGGCAAATGATGATGCAAATGGGAGAGATTGTGAGATAGCTAATTGATGGATAATGATACCTGCGTGTGATTGCAATATGAGGTTGAGGTTGAGGTAGAGATTGAGGTTGAGGTAGAGGTTGAGGTTGAGGTTGAGGTTGAGGTTGAGTGCTCGAAGTTTGGGGTCAACCTGGACATACACTAAGCCGGATTCAGCCCATGTAATACTTGGCACTAACGTACAGATGAAACAAATGGCGGCGAATTCACGATTCGGTACTTTATGTATACTTCAAGGGATAAAGACTTGTATTCTAATGTTTCTCTACAGTTAGATCAAGATCTCCCAAGAAGTCTTTCTTTTTTTACATATATGTATATACGAGGGTATCGGCATGTAGGTACAACCGGAACTTGTAGGTACATGTAATGTATACCAAATTGTTTCGCCAAGAACGCCAAGAATGTTTCGCGCTCGAAGCTATAAGGTCTTAAATTTTCAAACACTTTGATATGAAAAACGCAAAAAATGGCCAAAAACGACGTTTTTCGAAAAAATGAGAAAACCGAAATTACTATGCGCTAGTAGTGGGTTTTGGTCCCGAAAAAAACGTTTCTTCGCGATGCGCATAGCTACGGATAATTTTTTCGTTTTTTTAGAAAAACGAAAAAATTTATAAAACGCGCGATATATATAGCTGTAGGATTTGGTTCGGATGAACTTGCAATTTGGTAATTGACTGTTCCTAAAACGTTTGATATATAACATTGCGCTAATTAGCTCAATACATGGCCGGATGTATGTACATGTACATGTATGTATACGTACATACATGTATATATACCGGTACTGTATATAGGATCCGGTACATACCTCCAGCTCTCTTCGTACAATCGTCCAAATACACCAAGAATTCGACCACTCCAAAATGTCCCATCCACGGTTTTATAGGGCTTGCAATTGTTCTCTGATCAATATAAAACCACATTATGTCACTAATCGCGCGGAATGGGATAGACATCGCGCAGCGCAGGAGCAGGATCGTTTGGCGCAGATTTTTAGGGACAGTCTTCTTCTCCAGTACCTGCCCGCCCGGCGCCTTTAATCGAGCCAGCTGTTCCGGATGAGGATGAAGTCATGTCCAGCGACAGGGACTTATCAGCGCTTGATGCGGTAGATGAGCCGGTTGGATTAGAGGAGGAAACAAGTGATGAAAGTGATAATATCGAGATAGACATGGATTTAGCGCCGGTGTTGCCGGTGGTGGACCATATGGAACCGTTTCATGACAGTTTTGAACCTGCATTGGACTACGACAACGATTTCAGTGACGATGGCCATCCAGTGCAACGTGTTGATACAGACTCTGATTCTGTGGCAGACGACGGGGGCCACATCTCACCAGATGCGATATTGGATGAAATGTCAGACGACGCAGAAACTGCAGATGACGACCTGTCGCCCCACGAAGACGAAGTGACACCTACAGATGATGAGATATCGGATACAGCAGGAGACGAGCTGTCGCCCCACAAAGACGAGCTGTCGCCCCACAAAGACGAAATGGCACCTACAGATGATGAGATATCGGATACAGCAGAAGACGACCTGTCGCCCCACGAAGACGAAATGACACCTACAGATGACGAGATGTCAGAAGTTTCGGATGAGGAGCAGTTGCCCCACAATGAAGATGATATGGTACCTATAGATGATGAGATGTCGAATACGTCCACAGATGAGGAGCAGTTGCCCCACGATGAAGATGAGGATTCCGATCCATACATGGATCCTATTGAAGAATATGTAGATTCCATTAAAGAAGATGTGGAGCTGACCTTAGATGATGCGATTGACCAGTATTTACCAGTACTGGATGGAAGCCAGGCAGAGCATATAGCATCATCTCCACCCAATGTGCCATCAATTGATATTGGATACGAAAACCATCAGGACTCCGTGGATACCATCGATGTTGGATCACCCGCATCTGGTTTACCGGAACCATACATGACAAGCGATAACAATATGGTGTTTGAGGAAAACGAGGAAATATTGAGAAGTGGGAGCGATAGCGATCGAGTCAATTCAGAGGAAGATGTGGGCCAGATGCGACGAGGGTTTGTCGAGGTGGATAATGAAGATATAGACCCTAGTGACTCGGATGGGGTATCATCAGAACCTGATGATACAAGCTCGGAGGATTCAGACGAAGAGAGTTTCGAGTATGGGAAAACAATACAGAATCTGACTAGCCAAGAGATTATTTCAATCATCATGCACGATTTAAAGCTCTCACATAAGATTTCGAGAGTCGCCAGCACGGACATCACGCGCCTAGTAGAGAATTTCACTGAGGAAAACGAATCATGTTGGGATTATCGTACGACCAAGAAATGGATCGAATCGAAAACAGGTATTGTTCCAGAGACGTACGACTGCTGTAGGAACTCTTGTATGTCTTACGCGATGTATCCAGAGAAAGGCATATGTGATTGCTGTGGGGTTGATAGGTACAAACAAGAGGAAAAGAAGATACCATGCGCAACATATGATTATATACCCGTAATCCATAGGCTGTTGATTTGGTATGCAGATGCTGCACGATCGAATATGATGACATCCTATCGGCGACATGCAGAATCACAAAAAGAGAGTCGAATCGATTACTGGACTGGCGATTTGTTTAGGGATTTAAAAGACAGAAAGGGGTTATTCGATTCGATCACGGACTTAGGATTCTTGCTATCCACAGACGGAGTTCAGGTGTTCAAGCACAAAACTAGCTTCTCAATATGGCCCGTTATATTGCAGTGCCTGAACCTTCCACCCACCCACAGGGCTAAGCGACAGAATGTTTTATGTGTGGGGTTTGTACCAGGACCGAAAGGGCCCAAGAACTTGGACTCTTTTCTCTTTCCTCTCGTCAGAGAGTTTGAAGAGCTCCAAAGAGGAGTATCTGCAATAAACGGTGCAATTTCGGAACAACTACCGGCCCGCGACAGACAATTCACACTAAAAGGGCATATTTGCTTGATTACAGCGGACATGGTTGCCAGAGAGAAGATCATGAAGATCACAGGCAATAGATCATACTGCTATTGCGAATATTGCTTAGCACAAGGCATTTTCAATAAAGGAATGTACTGCCCGTTGTCTCCACCGATCGACACCCCAGTGGAAGCGCAAAACAAAAGAGGATATCCATTGGTAGAATGGGATAGGAGGGATCTGCCCATGAGGAGAAACAGGGAATTCAGGCGTATAGCGATGCAGATTGCAACGAGAGGTGCTAATTCCAGACAGCAGTCTAAGTATGGTATCAAAGGCCTATCGATCCTCAGCCAATTGAAATCAATCGATTTCCCTAGATCATTTCCTCCTGATAGTATGCATTTATGGTTCGAGAACATAATCCCAGATCTAGTAAAGCACTGGAGAGGTAAATATAGGGTGACAGAAAGCCAAGCGGAAGCGCCTGCAGAGAGTACTAGCTCCAATGAATCGGATACAGACCAAAATACAAGCTCCGAAGACGAAGCATCCGAAGTTGAGAGGGAAAGAACAAACGAGCCCCCGGCCCGCGCAAACAGAGGACAAGTAGGTTACTAGTCTATCTATCTATCTATCTATATATATATATAATCGAGCACGAATATTTAATTAATAGTGAGATACAGAGAAGATCGCGTAATACAGTTTCATCACGAAGGGAGAGCATGAACTCGAGGTCAAGAAATGACGAGGGAGGTATCAGGATACAAGTTCCAGGGAATGCGAATAGACAACAGTATAGCCAGAGAATGAGGGAACCAAAAGCGGTACATACAGACGACCCATACAACATCTCCCTGCGGGATTGGGAGTGGATCAGTAAGGAGATAGCAGCTAGCGCAAGTACTGTACCGCTCCTCTTTGGACCACTACTTCGAAATTTCATAAATCATATACACGAAATGACCGCTATAGAATGGCAATTATTTACATTCCTGCTTGCACCTGTTTACCTCAAGGACCTATTACCGGACGAGGATTATGACGAATATATATCATTGGTAGAAGGTATTCAGCTGAGTTGCGATTATATTTTGACAGAGCAAGACATACAGGAGATGGAAGACCGTATGGTGAGATTCAGCCTTCCTTCTCTAGATCTGCTTTTCAATTAATTTATTGATTACAATATGCAGGTGAGGTTTAGCGAGTACTACGAACGCCGATATTATCGAGAATGGGCAAGAATAAAGGTATGCTTGCTAGTAATGCACTAGACATTGCATGTTGCACAAGCTTTGAAATGGGCCGGGCCCATGTTCGTATACAGTCAATGGACAATGGAGTGATTTTGTGGTACGCTTACTGCGGCAGCGAAATCAAGGGTAATGACCAACAGAAACCTGGCAATACATCTCAGACTAGTCGAACAAAAAAACGCTTTAACATACATAATAGACGATGCAATCCCGTGCCCGGATGACGAGGACGAGGACGGTAACATAAAATTATCCGGAACCCTAGGGAAGCGCCTACGTAAAACACAGGACCACAGGATAAAAGAGGCCGTCGAGCTACGCAATGTAAGAACTGATACAGTGGTATTATACGGGCCGTCAAAAGCAAATAGGCTCACGACATACCAGCGCATGTGCATAAAGGCCTTCTTTTTGGGCGAAGAATACGAAGATATGGAAGAAGAAGAGGAAGGTCTCGAAGCGGATGCCAACAGCTTCGATATCCCAGTGGACGGCCGCATATTCCGCTCGTGTGTGTTCAATACTACGAGAAGAGGGGATGTGTACTGTTTTAGGGCGACGTCGTCTACGATGCAAAGATCTAATCAGCTCCGACAGAATTCACTGGTTAGATACGAGTCCGAAAATGACAGAGGCAATGTAGAGAGTAACTTCGGGGAAGTGCTTTGCTTTTTCTCTATCCATATACCAGAGGAATGTGTTTATGCCCGTAGGAGCATGAGGCGGCGTAATGCAACTGGTATTAAACTGGGAATAAAAGAGAAAGAGAGAGGAGCGGTGAGGGACCTAGAAGAGAGAGAGTTGTCACTAGCGTATATCAGATCTTTCCCTGCTATACGAGACGGAAAGCTGTTATACAAAGGAGGAAGAGGTCAATTGAAAGTCATAATGGCTAGTGATATACATGAATTGATTGGCCTATTGCGCAAAGGGAGGCAAGAGTTTATAATTAGGAGACATAGCGCACTATGGTAAATTGGCACAATTAACTAAGCTATAAGATATATTTTTATGTGTATATATTTTTAATGAATTGAACGTATAAGAGTATATATAATATCGGTATATATATCGGCTAGTTATGAAAGAAACACAGTTGGAATGTGTCGGGTAAACACAAGTGGATTGTGTTTGAGTGAACATCGGCTAGCTATGACTGGAACACAGTTGGAATGTGTCGGGTCAAACACAAGTGGATTGTGTTTGAATATGTTAGATATCTATGAAAGAAACACAGTTGGAACGTGTTAGGTCGAAAGGTAATATGTGTGCACACAAGTGGATTGTGCTTTTTTAGATAGAGAGATGAGAGACTGGGCAGAGCGCACATAGCTAGGAGGACAACACAAGCAAATTGTGTTTATTTCGCACGATTTACTTGTGTTTCTAGTTTCACACAAATCTATTGTGTGAAATAACACAGTAATACGGTGCTTGCTAACAAGACACACAAGTCTTGTGTTCTAAACACAAGACTGTGTTTGATTGTGGTGAGTAACACAATTTTCCATAGCCGAGCACAAGTAAATTGTGTTATAAACACAATCGCCACACAAAAAATGTACCATGGTGTCTAGATATGCTCAAATGTAACTATTTCATTTGTTGAGACGCGAGGCGGCCCACTACTAGTACAAGGTATTAAGCTATCCTTTGAAATAAAGATAGATGATATAAATGCAAATATTATGCTTTGTTGTTAAGAAAAAACTCTTTTTAAATTTTTTGCTTATTTCTATGCTACTCGTCTACGGCGGCTCGTACGTACAGTACGATGCCAGTCGTGAGCGTCAGGCGCGGCGTCGCAACGCCCCCGAACCATCATGGGTACCAGCACAGCAACCACAATTGATCCTTTGGAGAGCTGAATTTTTGTATAGTTGTTAAGTAGTAGATAAATAACAATAATTTGACATTTAATATCTTGTATACCAACCCTCCGTGAAAAGGTTGTGGAAATCTGGTTGCGCGCCTGACGCTCACGACTGGCATCGTACTGTACAGCGGTGGGTATTAAGTCATCGGACGGCCTAGCCACAATTTTGCCTGCAAACGCGTATTTTGGTGGCGTTCTGTCTGATCACTTATTACCCACCGCTGTACATACAAAAAAAGAAAAGAAAAAAAAAATGCAAGTGGCAGAGCAGTGATTATTCGTTGATCTGTCAAAGAATTTCGCCCTTTCTATTTTCTATGAAAGACAAGTAGCGGCTGAGTGGGCTGCCCTCTTGCGACATATTCAACGCGTCTCCCCCACTACACCCATCCAAACCTATTTAATACCTTCACAAGCCCCACCATCTTACATTATCCTCCAACCTCCATTAATACGCATTTTATCAACAATGACATCTCCTCCGTCAACCCCTACAGCTCTGCAGAGAAGATTTATTCAACTCTCCACTCCCACAGAGTGGGTAGAGTCCTATCGCCCGGGAGGATATCACCCGGTGCATATTGGGGATCGGCTCCAGTCTGGCCGTTACAAGATTCTGCGTAAACTCGGATATGGGTCGTTTTCAACAGTTTGGCTAGCGCTTGATGAGCAGTAAGCTGCCCCCCCCCCCCCCAGCCTCTTGCCTGCGATTAGGGATGAACTAACGCAGATCTCAGAATGTCTCGATATGTCGCTCTCAAAATATCCACGGCCGATATGTTGGCTAAAGATAAAGAACTGTCCTTGCGGGAGCGCATCGCACACCAGGACTCAAAGCATATCTTGACCCTATTGGAGAGTTTTCTACAAACAGGTCCCAATGGAACCCATCTATGCCTAGTGTTTGAACCAATGGCTGCCAGTTTCAACTGGATGCTTGAACCACACGAAGGCGATCTTCCCAACGCGCACCTCGAAAGAGCTCCTCTATCCTTGAGAAAGAAAGTTTTACGGCACACCCTTCTGGGCCTATGCACCCTGCACGATAGTGGTATTGTTCACGGTGATATACAGTTTGGGAATGTTTTATTAGGCGTGAAGGACCTGGACAGTGTGCCGGAGGATGAATTGCGGCAGGACATGCGAGAAGAAATCGGCATCTCCTGGCCCATCCAACGCTTGGACAGAAAGGAGGATAAGTGGGCGCCGCGATATCTCGCCGTACCGCAGCCCCTCGCAGCAAAGTATATTGACATTGGGCCGAGTCTTACCGCCAAGCTATCGGACTTGGGCGGTGGTATGTTCCTGCCAAAACCATCCACAATTACAGCCGATAAACTGACCTTTTTGAAAGCCCTCCTGCTACCCGATGATCATCATAAACCCGTCACACCCATTGCCCTTCGTGCACCTGAACTTGTGCTAGGACTCCCTTTTGATCAAGGCATCGACATATGGGCTTTTGGCTGGCTCATCGCCCAGTTAGTTACAGGCCAACCCCCGTTCGCCATAGATAATTGGGCTGATTGTACACCCGAAGATGAGGCCGCAACTGATGATGACCATATTATGGGATTTATTGATCTCCTGGGTCCTCTTCCCGAGCACCTACTTCAAATGTGGCCACGTAGGGAGAGATATTATCAAGAGGACGGGACCCAGATCCGCTGGAATGTTGATAGCGGCGACCCAGGTGAACCAGGTCCCCAATGTATCCTAGAGGACTTTATACTTCAGAATAGGAACCCAGATATTTCAGTTGAGGAGGCAGCTGTGATCAGTGGCCTACTGCGTCAGATCTTGCAGTACGAGCCGGAGAAGCGGCCAAGCGCGCAGGAGATACTGAGCCATGCATGGCTCCAAGAATAGGTGCGGCTTTTATGTTTCTTTTGTCTTGTCGATAAGAATAAAATTCTTGTATTGCGAATGAGAATACTAGTGGCATGTGGGGAAACATAGTCTTTTGCTATATAGTGGCAGCTCCCGGATTGTTTTGGGGGGGTGTTTGAAGCAGCTTAAGTTGGGGAGACAATGAACAAACAAGCAGAGAATAAAAATGAGATTTTGCTCCCTTCCCATCCGACAACGCGCCAAGTATGCCTAGAGTGAATTGACTACTCTCCTCTGGGAATCCTTCTAGGTGTAGTTATGCGGAAACTTGCATTGTCTGATTCAGCCCTCAAGCTGATACATCCGCTTATGATATACTGATGCCTGGTATCCGACAACGAAAAATTGACCTACTTGCACATATAAAATCATATGCGTAACTTTATCCACCCTAACTACATATGCAAAAACTTCGTTGTCGGACGCTGCGAAACCTCTCTAATATAGATATATTCCAACAAAATTTAGTGGTGTAGTGCACTAGCGCATAAATAGTTTCTTTATTCTCCCAAAAGTATCATCCCTTCGTTCGTTTTGACCATAAACGCTATTGGGTATATTATACTTGTTTCAGCGTTGTTGGCCGGGTTATTTTATTGTGTTCAATCTCTTTCGTGTTCGGCTTCACGACAATCCGAACGATGAAATAAATAAAATCTTAGTTTTATAGACAGAGGAAGAATTTCATTTGCGCTATCGACGACAAATGAATGATGATAGGAAAAAAAGAAGAAGAGGAAAGTACAAATCTAACTATGAGGTAGTCCTGCTGTGGACACCTTACAAAAGCATTGTCTGTGTCGTCACGTGAACGCTGACGAATCCGTGACACCAAATGTGCCCAACAGCGTCCTTTATCTCTAGTACACCTAACCCAAACTCCGCGAACCTCTTTAAGCTCGAAGTCACCGTTTGTGGCCTCTCTTTCAACAGATCTTTCCACTCCTAGAGGGTATCCACATCTTGTAGCAGTTAGGATTTTGAATATCAACTCTGCTATTCTTCATACATATATGGGAATCACGGGCACGAACGAAGGCATAAGAGTCCCTTTCAACCAGACAGGGAATACTGCCAAAAGTTATATGTATAAGGCTCAAGAGAAAGCCGCATGACGCCATTGTTGAGGCTCTATGCCAAGAGTGCGGGGGTGGCGCAAACCCAAGATTGCCCACTGTCCACACCCATCAAGGAGTCACGTCAGTCCAGTTAATAGAATGTTCTTAATTTCCTGCATGGTATGCTAATATGCCCAGGCCCACACCCTCACCACAATCCCTTCGGCTGTTCCCGCGATTCACAACCTCCGCCACCGAAAGATTTACTCTATGATATTTTAACTGAGATAGGTAGTGGAGACGGCCAAATTAAGCCCGAATGGGTAGCGGAGGTAAGATAAATAGTCGGCGTGTTAACTGCGCACGAATATCACTCCTTTAATCGGGAAGATGTCACGAGAAGCCACAGGTACAGATTACAGGCGAAGGTCTATATAGAGTACCGCAAAAACTCACGAACTTTGCTAGCGGATCTGACCAAAAACTAACTTGTAGAGGAAATATCTGAAGCTGATCTCTGCCTTTCAGCCAATCATCAATGAAGAAATCCCTGCACGGAGATAATCAAGTTGGCGAGTTTCTGCGGTATTTACCAAGTGTCAAAACCGGCGATTTACACTTCGCCACATTAAAACGTGGTTGCCGAAACCGACAATTTTGACCTATTTCTCGAGGTAGGGGTATATATATGATACGCCTGGAGATTTTTTCTATAGTACTGCGTATAGTTCACATCCTGCGAGCGTATTTCCCAGTAAGCGTGAAGAATTATTTATCTACAGAGTTTCCCCCATCATACCTTCCTTGTGTGAGTGAGGGGAACTGTCAATTTTGCCTCCCGTAACCGACATTTTCAAAGTGTCAATTCTCGGATTTGACACTTAAAAGATACTCTCTAATGACCCCGTGCAGCAGCAGCACTGGCAGTGTTTGTCGGACCTCTGTTCCCTCGACCTTGTTCATACCTCCTCTATCAACTCGCGGACAATTCCTTGGAACTAGCTCTCTTCGGAGTCTCCGAAAAACCTGTCTCGTGCCCGGTCCAATCCACTTGGCGCCAAGGTTCGTGACTCTCGATACAAAGCACTGTGTAATTTATAGTCAATCACAAGAAGGCTGGGCACAAGACAGCCGCGCCGGCGCTACGCGTGGTCGTGGTCTTGCAAGCCGGTGGGTCACCACCTGCGAGTACCTCTCGGAACGCAACACACCCACCCCCGGGACTGACCGATTTGAGTACAGGTTCTATAGCGAGCTGTTTATCATGTCGTTCATCAATGGGCATGTGTTCCACCTACCAGCGGGTATGGAGTTCACTTGGGCTGCCGACCAGTTATGCGGAGTTGGACGTCATTGCTATTGCGTGGAAGGCTAAGGTTCGCGCCCAAATCCCTCTTCCTGTACTGATGGGGGATTCTGGCACCCCACTAGAGGGTTATTATGCACACTGTCACTGTGGTGAGGGCATACATCACACTAATTAATATACTTGGCCGTTTCTGTGAATACCACCGCTAGTGACTCCCTCCCCCGAAGAAGTGATATCCACCTGTGCCCACCCGAAACTCGATTTTGGGTTAGGTCTGTACTAGTGTAGTAGAGCGCATAAGCTTTTGAAATATCCTGGTTAAGTACCGCCAAATCCCCAGAGTGGCTTGCAGAATAGCTGGGAAATCATCCTCCAGAAAAAAGTAAGTAATCAGGGTTAATCAGTAGAAATGGCACCTTCTACGGCGAATTCAGATCAAATTTAAGCGAATCTTTCCACGATACTAATTAGCATACTGAACTAGGAGTCCGCCAAAGCCAGGATTTATTCACTTGCCTCTCAACCTAGGTTACAAGCGCTGGAGCTCCACACAGGCCGGCTCTAACAGAAGCGTTTATTCCCGGTAAATATAAGCACCTATCAAGATCTCCCAATGCTGGTGGCAGTTTATTGTATTCTTTGTGCAGGGGCCAGGAGTATATTAAGGGCACAAGCCATTGAGCATCTGACAGAGAAGATGGGTCAAAGGAGGGTTGTTTCATCGCCTAGACAGCCGAGTGATATTTCGTGATCGCCGGTTTTGATAGCCCTCCCGAATTCTTGGAAGAGGCAGAGAACTGGGAGAGCTCATTATGTTCGTCAGAGGGTATACTAATGTAGGAAATATTGAGCTGGCGGTGTCTCAGGGCTCTATCAGGAATATTATATGAAGATAACTAAAGATGATTTTGTATAAGAAAAGGAGACTTGGAGTAGATATGGGCCACTTTTAAATACCCAAAATGCTGCCTAGAATTTAGTTTGATTGCATCTACTTAATCTCTAGCTTCTACTGTATCATTGATGAAATCATTTGAGGGTGAGGGGCTTTAAGTGCTACGCAAATATGACCTCAAAAAGGTATTTTTATTCGAGTTCGCACCGAATTCCGGTTGCTACGCGCCGGCATAATTTAGCTACTGTCAAGTACCTCGCGCCCCTACTTACCTGCCCACTTAGCATTGTTTTCTTTGATTGTTCTAGCAAGGAAGATACAGCGAGTAAGGAAACCATATCAGCAAGTCCATCAGGCTTTACACGTGTAGAATTATGGACAGACCGCTATACAATAGTCGGGAATCGAGTCATATCTCATGACCTACCTTTTTTCATTCGATTTTATTCAAGTTTTCTGGTTTTCTTTTTAATTTGTTATGTATTCGTTACATGAGCTACACTATTCTCTTTCAATATTACATACTAACACAAGATACGTACTAGTAAAATAAAAGAAATTGGCTCAATATTTGACCGAGTTATATGTCATTATTATTCATCCACCACGGTAAAAGAGCAATCGTATTAGCCAACCAACTAATGCAAGCCCGGAAGAGCAGTTATCATTGCATCAAATGTGAAAAAAAAAAAAGAATTTACTCAGATACGATGAACGCAGCTGAATTTGTTTTTGACGCGAATCCTTCTACATAACACAAACCATGCCCAGAACCACAAACCAGCACACCAATGAAAAAACACTGAAGATCACCCATATAGTGAATCTATATACAAAGGGGATTGGCCATATCGTACAAAAAAGATTCGAATTTATTCACTAGATTCTGACTTTTGGAAGTTGTGGAGCCGTTGCATCACTTTAAGGACTGCAGGGTACATGCTTGTGCCGCCCGCCTGCCAACCCACCGACCTAACTGCCTACCTGCTAGCCGCTGCCCGGAATTGCTGTTTTGGTGGTCTAAAAGTCCTGTTTTAGGCGTCAGTATCGATCGGGAGTCTAGACTAGTATCGTGAATCTTTTAGCAATTAAGGTTTATAGCGGAAAATATATCTTATGCGAGACAAGAAGTTGGTTTATCACTACCAGCGATCCTTCTTGCAATCTAATAGGCTGAAAGTGCAGAATCCTGGACCGCATGGCAACCGGACCACGCCCACCAGGAGAATTTACTATTGCCTAGCAGGCTGGAACATTGTCAAGATCTGGTGTGTCAATTTCAGTTGTTGAAATATCAATCCAACTATTGCAAAGTTTGTATAAACTGCGTATCTCAGCCTGCCAGACGATAGGATTCAATAATTACTAGGGGCGAAGGCGCTGACACATGCCGAGAGGTGTCATGCCGGATGCGTAAATAATGCAGATATTGTTCTTGTCGTTATTCAGTGATGCATGCTGGCGCTCACTCCCCATAACCCAGTCCCCATTCCCCCTGTGCACTCAGCCCTCATCATGATATTTTCCTCGTATCGAAATCACCCCCGTCTGCCCCCACATATGCTGGCGCCCAGTTCCCATACTCCGCTTCTCATCCTTATATTACACACTTGGTATTGACACCACCCTATCCCCCGCATGACTTGTCTCAAGTGCTGGTTCTCAATCTTCAACCCTCGCATGCTAATCGGTACAATTAATTACTATTTCCCGTGGCTCAGCCCCCACTTGCTAACTCATGCCATGCCTCAAGTTCTGGTCAATCCTTAACCCTCGCCTCTCGGTTCATGATGATACGAGAGGTGAGGGTTAATGATTGACTAGCACTTGAGAGTCGTATGTGTAACTAGATCGAGTTGCAAGGTGATACAAGTAATTGGTTCAACTTCACCCAAGTCCATTCTTCCCAGCTCCCCCAACCGCCCGAATCCTAACTCATGCCCGATGAAAATCATGGAAGAACCGCGAGAAGTGAGACATGGTGGTTGAGTATTAGCGGGATTAGAGAAGCGCGACATGGTGGGTGTTAGTACAGGCGAATATCGCTATAAGTGTAACATCTATAAGGGCAATCACCCAATAAGGGTACGGGTTTGTGGTCCAAAAAATCTGTATGCAAAAATAAGGGTAAATGGCCAAATACTTGCTATCCCTTAAACTGTTGACCCACGATCCGTGGGGGCCGAATGCAATGATATGTGGGTACTAGTTGGTCCATGCAGTATCAAAAACAGAAATGAGATATTGTGAACTGTCATGAGCGTGGTTGAGTGAATATTGTCCGTAATGAGTACTCAACAAACTATTCACCGTTCAACATTGCCGTGATCATTCTCCTAAATATGTCAGACTTTAAGATTCATATCATGACAAGGAGGTAGAAAACTCAGATTGCGAGAGTTTAATATTAGGTGATGAGGCCTCAGAGAATCCTGAATCCCCAGTTACCTTTGGTGCAAGCCTCCCTCCAGAAATGGATTCCGATGATAGTAACTTTGAGTCAAATGGGAGTGGTGATTATCTTTCTCCATCGGTTAATTGTGGTCCGGACTTTGAACCCTTATCCTCCTTATTCTCAGCACATACTGCCCAACCTTGTGTACCTGGTCGAGCCGAATTGGACAGGAGCAGTCCACTCGCATTCTTCAGCTTGTTCGTCCCTGACAACCTTTTTGAGATATTTGTAGGGAATGCCAATGAATATGCAAAAAGTAAAAGACCACCACTGGGCTCTAAGGGTAAAAGAAGAAACTGGATGTATACAAGAGCAACGGAATTGATGGTATAGTTCAGATTGATAATATTTATGGGCCTTGTGAAAACCTCCTCGATTCCGCTGTATTGGAAAACCAATCCAGATAGCAAGTTGTTTGAACCCATAAAAAGCATTGCTTTGGTTCAATTTGAGCCACTGTAGTGGTTCTTTCATCTGTCACCACCAGTTGAACAACAGCCCAAAAAATTACCCTGGTACTCAAAGATTGATGTTCTTGGACAAGCAATACGCAAACTTGAAGCTTCGAAAGAATACTTGGTACCGGCTACGGATTTGTCAATTGACGAAATGATGGTCCGATTTACTGGTCGGTCAAAGCATACAATAAAAATATAGAATAAACCGATCGGTTAAGTATATAAATTGTTCGCTCTCCGTTGAGACGGATATACATATCATTTTCTATATCATTCTCGTACCAAGAAGATAGGAGGAGTTTCCAAACTGGCCGATCATTGCTTTGCATCCTCCGCGGTTATTCAGCTTGGGAAATCTCTGCCGTACACTACTCACCAACTCGGATTCGACATATACATGGACAATTATTTATCAAATATCCCAATGTTTAAGTAGCTCCGAGATATTAGAATAGGAGCTTGCGGAACTGCCAAACCAAATTCAGAGCTTTTCCCTCCCGCTTTCATGAAAAAGAATACATCTCTTAGACAGAGACCTGTATGGAATACACTAGAAGGCGAGATCATCGAGGAAGTACCCTCTCTCATATCGATGGACAATCTTTATGTTCTATTTCTCACCACGACAGACCAGGTGAAAGGTTTGGAGCATTCGCCATAGACCAGGTGTTAGCAGTATGAATGCGAGAATTGTGCGTCATATTTTTGGTGATAATCCTACAAAAAGTTTCTTGATATCTATCGTTATCCATATGTATAATATGCATGTGTACAGAGTCGATATAACTGATCAAAGACAAAGCTACTGGCCTACCCACTTTTCTTTTGGTACCTAAATACAGCAATTGTGAATACCTATTTGTTGTATCGTACAGCCAATATAAAAGAGGGGGCTATAGCTAAAGACCTGTCGTCACATCGTCGATTTTGTGAGGTTCTGTATGAAGAACTCATCAAGCGGGGAGTACAATAATTTTGCCGGAAAAATCGGACACTAAAATCTCTGCCAGCATCTGGATTTCAACCCAGAGAACATCTACTAGGACAGGTACTACCAGGTGAAACTGGAAAGCAAGGTTATTGTGCATACTGTTTTGGGGAAAGAAACGAGGTCATGCTGAGAGTGTATTTGGAACAGAGATTGAGAACTTGAATAGTCAATCGGGCAGTAGAACTATCACCGGTTCTGTTAGGAAAATATCTATAAAAGGGTCAGGAAAAAGGAGTACTCAAACACGAACTTTCTGCATTCTCTGTAAAGCTTTCCTTTGTAAGGAGAGATGTTTCACTTTGTACCATAGCAGTCGGCGAGGAGGTACCAGTTCATTGCCCTTGGGCGAACCTCAAAATAAAAGTGGGGAACGGCAACATGATTGTACTTGTTGAGTTCACCAAAGCGGGTTGAGGTTCGGGTGAGACATGGTGAGACACTCTGTCATGAACGAATTATGCAACCTTTTCGAGTAGGTCAGCAATTGACAGGTTAAGGGATAAGAATATTCTTAGTCAATTGAGCTTATTTTTTGGGTGTGTGTCCTTATAGAAAAGGTAGGTTAGGATCAAATCTCCATATAATCCGCAGGTCTCTATTAATTCATGGTCCTTCAATCCATTATTGAACCGGAAATCGACTAAATAAACCTAACCCTAATTTTCCATAAGGGCGTGTGTTCAAGTTCCGGGCCATTCACGAATATGACAGATTCATGAGTGAATTTAACAAATTCGCTAATGGACTTGAGGTATTCGCGAATGGACTCCTAGGCTCATACATATGTGACAGGACCAGTTTATTCATGAACAGCATGGGGAAACTGTTGTTTTAGTACCAACACCTGATAACTAATAATGATTTATATTAATCCCGACAACTGCTACAACTACCAGAGACCTCTAAACAAGACTAGCGACCCTAAATATCGAGTCTGGAATAATAATTGGCACCTTCAAGATCTTTAGCGGGCTTCAGTGACATCCTGTGGCCTCTATCAGCCTCAGGCACCTTTGCAATCTCTTATTTGGGCCCTATGACCTCTAGTAAAGCCATTTGGTCTCTAATAAAGCCCAGGCAATTTGGGTGTTGGTTCCAAGAGCCAATCCCACTACCTTTTGCCCAGTCCATTCACCAATGGACCAGTCTGGTCCCGGGTGTACGGAGAACGCAGTCCATTCACGAATTGGAAGTATCCGCCAATGGCCCGGAACACATACTCTCTATAAGGGTAAGCTGCGACCCAATTTTTCGAAATTTTCGTACCCTTATAGCGAGATCCGACTGTATGTGAGGGTTGAGAAGCGAGAAGCGAGAAGCGAGAGATGAGGATTGAAAATTGAGTATCAGCACTTGAGACAAGGTGATAGTTGATGATGATCTGCACCCATCTCACGCACATATCAATATCTCTCCCCCTGTGACTCCTTAAAGAGAGACGATTTCTCCTTCACTAGGGAGATCAAACCCTTAAGTTCTTAATTTTACCTTTATAAACAAAGACCTCTTACAAATCATTGCAAATTTCAAGATGCCCGGCCTGCTCATTGACCCTGAAACCTCTGAACAACACTCAACCCCGGGCTCTCCGCCCTCCCTACCACAGCCGCCGCCTAGCACACTTGACCCTTGGCTGGATACCTACGCTATAGGCGGGGAAATATCTGGCCCTATTCGGTTTACACCCAGCAGCAGCAACTAGCGCCCGTAATATACCGGCAAATAGAGGTGAGGATCGGGAACGAGCAAAGCCCCACGGACAGGAGCACACTCGCGTTAAGTACGCAACACTTCCGCATCTTTAATTATGGGTGGCAAACCACTAACGGGGAATAATGACGGCGCATTGGCACCATCCGTGAGAAGGGAGGCGAAGAGGTATATCGAGCAAAACCCCCCACGGGAAACAACAACGTACTTTCTGTACACTAGTCGCCGTGCAAAAGGCTAGAATGGCGGGTAACCAGAATGAGAACCAGGCAGATATTAATAACGGAGGCAACAGCCCATCACACCAGCCTGATCAAGACCCCATTAGTGGATATAGGGCAGGTAGGTAGTAAGGCACGGACTTCCCCTCAATCCCTAGGATAGCATCACCCTCCCTCGTTAAACCCCCGTTATTGCCGTCTTCTAAAACATACTCCTTTTCACATTAAATCGAGCGTCCTATGCTCCCTATCCGTATCAGGTGCGAACGGGTTGAGTGGGGAGGAAGAACGGGTTGAGTAGCAGGACAGGAAGGCCGGGATATGACGAGTGAGCATGGGTGATGCTTGCAAGGGCTGTGGTCAACGACCTCTCTTCTTTTTTTTTTCTCACTTACTTCAACAAAAGCTTTCACCGTTCTCAACACACTCCACCCCACACGCTCCTTCCTCAGCCACTTCTTCCCCTGCCGTTCGTCTTAGTTTTCGGATATTCTATCGTGTCAAAACGCCCCTTCCCTTGTCGTTCACTTTAATAGTTTTCACCCCCCCCCCCTCTCTCCACGCGATTCATTCCCTCTCCTATGATAAAAAAAACAACTCCCTCTCCTAGGCTACGTATAACACGTTGCCTCGTACTTCGGGGTCAGCACACGTTTTAGTTAAAACGTGAGGTTTTTTTTGTTTAATATACGTGTATGTACGTGGTCGTTAGTTAAACGGTCGGGAATCTTTAGAAAGCACTTGGTTCCAACGATCCCCTACATATAGTTAAAGCACAAGTAACAATTAGCTAGGGTGACAAGTAAAAAGACAACATGCAGTAAGAGATCTTCCGAACGTATGCTTGCAATCAAGTGAGCATGAAAAGGCGATTTGCTCGCATTGGGTATTTTTTACCACTTATGGGAGAGGAATCCTGCGTATTCGGTACGCTGATTAAAGACAGTACGCCGCACCACTTAGTCATAGAATATCACTCGCTCCCGTATACGGCGGAAGGGCACGTCGGAAAAGGGTCCACAAAAGCACATTGAAATAGAACTGGGAAGGACATAAGAAAGAGTACTAGAGGGAACACCAGTGGGGGCGTAATACAGGTATGGACCCTCAAAATGCTTTCCACAATTTCATTTCCTGATATAATACACCAGATTAGCCTATTCCAGTGTAATCCTGGCGCCCACTCTTTTACCCTACTCATCTGCTGGGCCCTACATGGTGCTTATAAGTCTATACGGCTGAACGAAGTTTTCTGCGTCCTCTTTGGTTATGGCGAGGTTTTGTGTTTTGCGCTTGATCGCGCCTAGTCTGCATATGGATGTACCCACTGCCTTCTGTTATGTGCATGCAAGATGATTATCAACTCAAAGATGACACACCATGCGTTCCCTGGTACTAACCCTGCTGCTGTTCCTTACAGCCGTGGGTGCTACTCCCTTCCTCGAGAATGCAGGAGGAGACACTGATACCGTTGAGTCCTACCTCATCGGGAACGACGCCCGCTCTATTGAGGTAGATCTTATTCTAGAGGCTACCAAAACCCCGGAAAACGCAAAGGGGGCGGCGGTACCGGCAGAGGGCGTGGAGTTGGCAACGGCGGGTAAGCACTCCCCCTAAACACACACATATTCCAAACCCCACATTAATACCCCTTCTAGGTCCCTCAGCGGTGCCGGCGGTTGCACCATCACCGGCTCCGGCACGCCAAAAACCTTTGGCAGTTACTACGGCGGCGGCGGCGTCCCATTCACTAGCGGCAAGCCTACACCCAGCGAGCTTCTCCATCTCTACCTTAGGGTATCGGCCGTCTACCTCTTTTTTGCCGGGGAGTGGCTATATAGTGGCATCCATTCATACTGGTATGACGACAAGGCGGAGTACCAGAATACCGAATTACCGGTGCTGTACCTGTGACAGGAGTACTCAGTGTGCGGATGCGAAGGCGTTTATTGACTCCACTGGCATGGTGGCCAATACGACCCCCAGTCGGCTGGTGGAGGTGAATGGGACGAGGACAATCGTGATCAATGGGGTGTTGGCGAACGGGACCACGGCGGGTGGGGGTACTGAGGCGGTTTCGGGGGCAGAGGCGACTCAGGGAGCGGGGATGCTAATGTTGGCGGTTGTGGTGGCGGTAGGGGTGGTCATGGTGTTGTTGTAGGTTTGGCTTGCGCACGGTATTGATGCCAAGATTGCCCTGCATGCCTCGGCCCTCGTAGAGTACATATGTAGAGTACCTATGTGTACTCGCATCTTCCTGTCGTTCGTGGACGCGACTAATATTGCATACCATACAAAAATACGCCAAGCTCATGATTTTTGGTGTACGCAATAGTGGCCCAGTTCAAAAACGTCAGGAAAATACTAGTACAGAGAGTACTCTAAATAGTGCAACAAGCTTATTTATACAAGCTCCCCATTAATGCCACGTGCGTGTACCCTGCCTGGGCTGCACTGGACCCAGCCACACAGAAATCCCAATCCCGTGGGCGGGCTTGAGCCGAATATACTAGCTACATATACCTCTTCTCCCGAACACCCCCGCTACCCACAACATTCTAGAATGGCCACCAATGATCTCTCTCTCTATATATATATTCTCCAGCCTTCCCACTGTGTTTCCTTCCCTACACATCTACTTCCTTGTCTCTCAATATATGCATCTTCCATTATTCCGAGATCTAGAAGGTTCTAGCACGGTTTGTGTAATAGTAAACTCAGAACCTCCAGTATCTAGGTCCAACAGGACGGACACCATTTTTTGGCAGAGTTTGCAGTCTGCCGCGAAGGGCTTCTTTGAGAGATTCCAGCAGCGATATCTAGCATACTGTAGTCTGTATTATTTATTTCATGAATTGGCCACCGTTTGGGAGATCCTGCCTGAGATTACCTATCCCTTAAGCTATCGATCGATGCTGACCCCCCTATAACAGAGAGATTAAATTTGTATAAGAGATCCATTTGATAACAGAGATAACGGTGTTGAGTGAATTTCAGGCAACCCATATGTCTGCCCCCTTCCTCCCCCTCATACTTTCTATACATGACCCTCGTACCCATACCACTAGAACCTGCACACATAACACCTGCGCACAATATTATCGAAAAACTACACTTACAATGGAGTCCTCTCCCGAAATGCAAGCGCTTATCCGCCTCACCCCAGAAGAGCGAACCTTGATGCGCACGCCCGGAAAACGTCTCAATATAGCAAGAAAAAGGCCAGAAGAAACTCCTAAGCCTCTTGACGACTTCTTCACGCAGGGGTATCCCCAGTTTAACTTCGTCGCCAGCGCCTCGCCCGAATCTCAGTGGAAACGACTTGCCCTGTTCGAGCACTGGTCGCCCGGCAGCCACGATTATGCCTCCGCCCGCGCACGATTCGAGGCCGCCTACGATGACCAGTTCAACACGGCAATAGATGGCTTTTTCAACCATTTTGTTGATTTTGATTACAACCCGCGTGCCGAGGCCAAAGCAGAATTCGAACGGCTACGTCAGAGGAAGGGGTGGTTTGACGATGGGCAGAAGAACTTAGACTGCTGGTACAAATGGGCGGAATATAGGAGGGCTCGCGTTGAGTTTTTTGACGCATTCCGGGACGACTTTTCGTGCTTCTTTGGAAGTGGCGATGATGTACGGGATTGGGTGTTCTTGTGCGACGTCTTGCGTGTTAAGCCCACGCCGAGGACTATCGAGCACTGTAAAACTGTATACACCCCTCCTCTGGTCCCTTTCTGACCGTTCCTCAACCACGTTTTTTGGCCAACCTGTGACAACTGCTGACTATGGGGTTGCCGTTGACAGGCGTTGGGAAGCTACTATGTGAACATATACGATCTCTACGAGCATGTGCGCTCTAAAGAGCCTCTACTATATCATAATACGGTCGCTGAGCTGAGCGTATACTCTCGGGATGATAACAAGCTCTATCCTCTAGAATCGGCCAAGACAACGTGTATGAAGTTTTTACTCCGGAAGTTTGTGGGTGTACAGGGAATGAGATGGGACGACTGGGGTAGAAAGCTGGTTACTGAGGAAGAATATAATCGGAGTAAAGTGATCATGCGTAATCTAGGAGAAATAGCTCGTAGGCGGGCTGGTAGCCAAATTCGCGGGCTCATGCGGAGTTGATGCCGAGTAACCTTATGCCATGTTTGATACGAATCTCTATAATAGCATTTTCTAATATTGTTTTATCTTTGGAACTTGGGGCTCTAGTTTCTCCCAGTCATTTATTGCATGCGCTTCTATTATTTTTGTATGATATTTTCGCTTCGTACCCTGTCGGATTTGGCTTTCTGAGTATCATTGAATATTAAAACTCTTGCACCCATCCTTAACACGCATATCAGTTCATAAGTTCAACAGCACCGCCATTTAATCTCTATCGATATGGGAAATTAATTCGTCTTAGTTTCCGCACTGTATGCCACTTTCCAGGCTGGTATACCGGTATCAATTTGCCACCTAATAGGCTTCTACGGGAATGTTATAATTCACACACTCACGGAACGGGTCCCTGTCCCGCTTTCAATTCTCCATATCCCTATCTGTGTCACCTATTCATTTTATCAATATGGCGGGGAGGTGTCTTTGGTCGATGCTACACTACAAGAAGATGCCGTCGTGTAGTGACTCTTTTTCTTTTTCTTTCTACTGTTATCCGTACTATTTCTCTTGGTTTGTATTATTTAAGGGACCTCATTCGGCTCCCGGAATAAACCAAGTAACTCTACGCCCAATCGTACAGCAGTCGCAAGATCATTTGTCCACGTGACTCGCTACTCAACGAGTTCTCGGTTGACAGCCTGCTTCCAATCAACTGACATGAAAATGAAGGGGCTAAAGAGGTTAATTCTGGTACATCCTATTTAGGTAGTGACGGCTTGAACGAATGTTTATTATGGTCGCTTGACCTGGTTATTCAAGAGATAGTGGCCGGAGGTGCGTCATAATATATCACTCGGCCGTTACAAAATCCTGAGCGTGAGAAATCTGCACGGTAAAGTGAAGATGAATACATGTAGTGACTTGGTTGCTTTATTGACCGCAGTACAAAGAATGTGTCATTATATACTCTTGGCATATCAGCCTTTTCAGTTATTTCCATGACCTACTATTGACACCATAGTGACTAATAGTGATTATTAGTTACAACCACATATTTTCTCCTAAGCTCAGAAGCCATATTCTAACACTGAGTTCGGCTTCCCGAATTGTGATATCGGGCTCAAAATAAACCTTATTTTCATCTCGGAGGCCAAAATGAACTCCACCCGGGGCTAAAAAAACCTCATTATCATCATGTCGGAGGCTAAAGCGACAACTATCCGAACGAGCCCGATTTTTGAAAATAACTCAACAACCAGTAAAGGTATTATCAAAGATACCTCAGATTCTAGATTCTCATCAAAAACATTATCTATTTAACAATTTGATCTCATATGCACAGCGTTATCCCAGCTGAATGAATGAGACAGTACTCCAGTAGAGAGGCTTCGCAACACCACGAGCCCTGGGCACTCGTAGTACCAACAACCAACCACCACCACCAACCTCACCATACCAATCGCTATCCTGAGAGAGCCCACCAAATCCACCTCACGCTGGATAAAAGTGCACGGGAGAAAGTAAAAATGTGTTGGAGAAGAACAAAGCGGGAGAGAGACGCGGGAGAAAAGTCAAAAGAAAAAAAAGAAAAAGAAAAGAAACGGAAAAATTGGCTATGTACAGGTACGGCGGCCGGAACGATCTATGAAACTCTCAATCTGAAAAGGTATAATCAATGGAAAAACAGGGGCGTTAAATTTATCCCTTCGTTCGTGCCCGCGATTCACATAGAATAGGTCACAAACGGTGACTTCGAGCCTAAAGAGGTTAGCGGAGTGTAGGTTAGGTTTGCTAGAGATAAAGGTCGCTGGAACAAGTTTAACATACCCAATAGCGTTCGTGGACAAAATGAACGAACGTATGGCTCGAGATTCGATAGTGGGTGGGTGCCCCCAACCCAGATATCCCTTCGTCTGTATTCAGGACCGGGCGTTATGTGGGGAGACTAAGCCGGTCAAACAAAACCTCATGTAAATCCTCCACTAATAGACCTAACCCTGACCCCGTGAACCTCTTTGGTGCGAAAGTCACGTTCGCCACCAGATCTTTTCGTTTTTTGAACGAGTTTGTCCTCCATTGGGAGCGTTACATTCCTATTCACAGCTAGTTCACTGAATATCACGCCGCCGCTTCAAAGCTAAGAGGCCGTGATTCGCGGGAACAGACGAAGGGATAGTAACTGTGGGACGGATCCGATTCGTTTATAGAGGAGTGACGAGGGGATTCGGGTGTTTGGAGGTGCTGGCGTCGTGGTGGGGGATGGATGAGATCGAGGGGTTTTTTATGGATGAGATCGATCGAGGGGATTGCGGAGCGCCAAGCGCTCCCTGTGCCAAGACGTTATGCATAACATAAAGGTACTACGCACGGGGTAACAGTTCTCACTGTCAACAGACTTACTCCTACCCCGCACTCGAGCCACAAAGACACCCAGCTCATCTATATACATGACGGATATAACTGTAGCCCTGGAAGGAGAGCGATGCCGGCGATACCGGCGATGTGGGAGATGTGATTCTGCCGGGTGCGGGCGATTAAGAGGACGCTGGAGTTTAGCTGCTGCTGGAGGAATAGGGTGGGGAGGAGGGTGGGTTTCTTGACCCTCCGAGAGACCTAGGAAGATGGGATGAATTCCAGACCTCAAGAAGGCGGTGGAGGGTATATGAGGCGGGAAAATATTATATAATATGCGACAGAGCAGCAGAACTGTGTTTACGGGGGTGTTGGGATGAGGGGAGCGAGGTATGAGCCCCTTCACCTTCCCGACTCTAGCTCCCCTTCCCACTCTCACAGCAATTGAGGACTAACTGTTCCCCTTCCGCCCAGTCTCCATCCTGGGAGTAACCTCCGCGACAACATTCCGTCCGCCGTTGTTCATATCTACGCCAGTACAAGATGTAAGCTGGCACGCAGATCCTGATTTGCAGGAAGATGGGGTTGCAGGGGAAGACGAGCAGAACTATGCAGGGCGCCGACGGCTGTTACCAAAGAAAACTCCGGAGCGGTGTGAGCATGGCGAAGCTGTCGATTATGGTAGGATGCCTGATGAGCTCTGAAGTAAGTACCGGAGGTTTATAACTGAAGGAAATAATGAAACGGTGCAGGCCACGACGGGGCGGCTGCTGGATACGGCTGACCTTTGTTGTGGTGGTTTTCCCTGCCTGCCCATTGGGGGGGAACCCTCTCGTGTTGCTAGTTGGAACGGAACACCTCCCCCCCTTTACACCCTTCGGCATGCTTACATTTTTCACAGAGCGCGAAGAGAGCACTACACAATCGAGTATTTCGGAGCAACTGCGTGAGGAGTACGAAGCTTTCAGAACTAAGTCCATGAAGTGAATCGGGGGGGGGGGGGGGGGGGGAGTTTTTGTCGCAGATAAGGATGGTTGATAATGGGTTTCTTTCTTCAATTCTCAATGTAGTTAATGATCCACAGTGTGTTGCAAAAAGGGAAAAAAAAAATAGCTATATAGTTTCCCTATTCACACCATGCCACAACGCCAAAAAGCTACAATCCCACGGCGGTTAAGTAGACTACAGCAATGCAAAGGAACAGGAGTCTAAAGACAGGTCCGGCCGGCCCGGCCATAGGAAAACTGCGTGGGTAATACAAAAGCCTCGCTATCTGTTTCGCTGCCATTAACACGATAGTAGTACTTGACCACTCCGCATTACATACGTGTTATCGGGTTCAGCGGGGTGATCAGAAAAGAGACTTTGCACAGATGGGTTGGGTCTAGTGTTGTTTCCATCCCCTCCGGGCAGCAAGCTGCACATGGTTGGGTCTGGATACACGAAACGTTTTATCATCCTTCATGCATGCAAGGTGCTCTTCCCGTGGCATGTGGCTGGGGCCTTGGCAGGAAGATCTTCACACAACCGGGATAACGCACGGGATCCTAGTACAAGGCTCTGGCATAAGGTGATCGGACGGGCAAGGTTCGTAATAAAAACAAGCGAGTATGATTTTCCTAGAATACATGAACGGCTAGCTATGAGAAAGTGAAAAGTGTAAAGTGAAAAGTGAAAAGTGAAAAGTGAAAATAACATCAGTACTTTGTATGACCGCCATTTACAGCGCGCACTGCTTCAACCCCCCCTGGTAGGGAACCGAATAGGGAAGCAATTTCTTCAGAAGTAATTGCATCCCACTCTTCTTGGATCGCGATACGGAGTGCAACATTAGTTCTGCAACGACGCCGAGAAATTTTGTCCTTCATAATACGCCATACATTTTCAATAGAGTTACAATCAGGGAAGTTCCCAGGCCAGTCAAAAAAATACCCGAAAATTCCTAGCTCACCGATGCAGTGAACTTAGCACGATGTGGGGGAGCTCCATCATTCATAAAATATATGTAGCCTGATTCACAACTTGCCTGTGTAAATTCTGCCTTGAGAGAAATAGGTGAGGTTTTACAATCCGTTCACAGTAACGGAGTCCATTGAGCGTATGTCCCCATGCTTTGTCCCAAAATACAACTGGGCCTTTGATATTGCCTATTCATTTAGTCTAAGTCAGCATAATTTGGTCAGGGTGGTGAAGTAGTAGTCCATATCATAAATACAACCCCATACCATAATAGTCTGTAATTTTCGGAATTTGGGTACTAAGCAATCTTCTACATACGCTTCTCCAGGATTTCTAGTAGCCCATGTATTCCCAGCAAAACCCCCAATATCAAATCCGCACTCATCTGTCCAGATGACCTTTTGGAAATCTTCAATAGTTCAGTCATTAATATTATCAGCCATGCTAAGCGTTGGACCTTCGCAGTAATCGAGAGAAAGGGTTTGACGCGGGCTTCTTGGCGGTGATAGCCTTCATCGGCAAAAGCTTTTCTGAGGGTTCGTTAATTGACCGAAACATCAAGATCTTCAGCAATTTCTTGGAGGGTTTTGCGTCGATTCTGTTGAGAGGCAGTGGCATGTTCCACTAAGAGTTTTCTAATCATGAGGGTGATAACAGGGGGTCTGCCCATCCTGGGCCGGTGAGGAGTAGAGGACTGCTGGCAGATACTGAATACAGTGGAAAGAGGTACTTCAAGCTCCGATGCAATTTTTCTAAATTGCCAAAGTGCTATTTTACGAAGCCCTCTAATTTTAACGAAGACTATTTGAGAGTTCAACCCAAAGTGCTAAAGATTTTCATTGTGGTGGAGTGGTTTTATATTCCATAGTGTGTCGTGAAGTTGAAGAATTACAGGTGGAATTACTATTCTTTTATACTACTTGAAAGTTATCACATATTATCCTCATTGATACTTGGGCAAGGCTTGATACTTCCTAATTTTACTTTTCTCGTCAAAAACTTCAATTAAACTCCACCTACGTACATTGATCTTTATCTATATCATGATGCAACAGCGTGGCCTGTTGTTGCAAACGGCCCAAAAGGTGTTGTTCTATACTTTTCGCCCTCAGAGTACTACCCGATCCTTAATGCGGACCCTGACCGTCCGATCACCATATGCCAGAGTCTTGTACTAGTGATAATTAACTCTCGCTCTGCGGGATCAACATCACTTTCCATCGGGGGGTACCCTGACACCTTCCTTATTCAGCTTAGCTTTGTACCGGGGTTCTGTCGGAGCCTCTTGGGGCTGTCGGAGCCTCTAAAGTCTGTCGGAGTCTGTATATAAACCTTAGCTTTTGTCGGAGTGCTTGAGTTGGGGTTGCGTGTTGTTCACTGAAGTACAAAATGAATTGTGTAAAATTACACTGGAGAATTGTGTAAATATAAACAATAGAGTTGTGTAACTTGAACCTTACTGTTTAACTCATGTGTACTCTTTACACAATTTTATGTTGTAAGTTCACAATTTAAATGTATGGCGCGAGAAGGCATAGGGGGTGGGTGTGTCAACTTCAGAGGAACCTTTTTTTGTATGGGAATTAGAGAAAATTCCACCGTCAGGCTAGGCGCTAGTACCATTATGTGAGTAGATCTCCCAATTCTTATAGATTGATTGGTTGCAAACGCCGAAGTTTACACACCTACGCACCTTAGCTTCTCGAGACATACGTACAGAATGATTTTGGATCTACTTTACCACAGCAGGAAATGCATCAGGCTATACATTTGCGAACGATTTTACCTACACCTTTGCCTACTGTCGACGATTTTACCAGTACCTTTCCCTACTTTGAAGTACTGTCGACGATTTTGCCTAAACCTTTTCCTACTGTCGACGATTTTACCAGGACCTTTCCCTACTTTGAAGTACTGTCGACGATTTTGCCTACACTTTTTCCTACTGTCGATGATTTTACCAGCACCTTTCCCTACTTTGAAGTACTGTCGACAATTTTACCTACACCCTTCACTACGACTTTCCTGGGAACATTGTCAATCATTAGGGAAACTTGAAGATGTAGGTACTAAGTAATGATGCAGGGAAAATCGTCGATAGTATGTTCTTACTAGTAGTAGGGAAAGGTGCTGGTAAAATCTTCGACAGTATGTACTACTTAATAGTACAGAAAGGTGGTGGTAAAATCGTCAACAGTATGTACTTAGTAGTAGGAAAAGGTGTAGGTAAAATCGTCGACAGTAGAAAAAAGTAGGAAAAGGTGCTGGTAAAATCGTCGATAGTAGGGAAAGGTGTACTAGTAGTAGGAAAAATTGTCGGACCGCGAATACTAGTACTGTTCTTGGTATTTCTTGCCTCTACTGATTATTGACTTAGACATTTTTGGATCTCCAGTTCGGCTATACATACCTATTGAGTCAGCTTATACATATTGCTTGTACTAGCAAGTGCTATATATTGAAAAGATATAATGGTACAGGTGGTAAACTCCAAGTCTAAGTTAGATAATCGGAATGATCCAGGTTCAATCCCTCCACATTCAAGTTCATTTGTTTTGCATTGGGGCAGGAGTGTTCTTCAGTATGATGCATTTACTAATCTCTTTACCGATGTCTTTACGGATGCATTTACTGATGCCTTTGCTGATGCATCTCAACCCGTGATTCAGAAACTTGAATCCGGTACTGTTTGCATTTCTATTTTCCTAATATAAGTATTTCCCGAACTCTTGGCAAAACGACACTGTGATGTATTAAGGATGCATTATCCACACATTTTAGGAACAAGGCTTGATAAACTGACTGACGACTTTCACTGATGCATTTCGTACCATGGTAGAGCCCGGGTGTCGGAAATCATGCTCATTCGACTAATTTTCAACGACAAGAGAATCAGCCATGAAGCAAAGTCATTTGGAGGCTAATATGAACTTGTAGATTCTCTTTTAAATGGAAAGAAAAGAAGTCTATCATTATAGCTTTTCTATACCCTTCACCACACATTCTTGTTATCCCATAGGGACGTCTTCCCGGGAAGGAAACATTATGTACCTAGGCACTAGCAAGTTCATCCTGGGGAGTAGTAGAGGGCTCTGGACACCTGAATTATGGGAGTGTATTGTGTTATGATAAAAAGTAGATATTTTAATGCATATAGTCGTGTCAAGCCAAAATGTGCATCATTTTCCGACACCCCGGTACTGTTGAATTACCTATTACCGAAACTGTACAGCGACAGGTAATAAGTCATCAGACGGAACGCCACCAAAATACACGTTTGCAGCCAAAATTGTGGTTAGGCCGTCCGATGACTTATTACCTACCGCTGTAGATCGTCACTAGTGACGCGAATCCGAGAATACCGGGCCTTCGGTAGTACTAGGGCTACATTGACAATATTGAATTTCTAATATTAATTGGATAGAATTTATAGCTGATGGTCTCTCCGTCAGCCTTTCATTGATTAAATTTGGCATCGTAAGGATCTTCGTTGATCTTTTCAGAGTCTAGGATGGGGCCAGATATTACTTACACTGATGCATATAAGCCATTGAAAGGAGATAATTAAAAAAGAATGCATACGTGTAATGAGTAAAAAGAACAGAAATAATTACTCACAGTGCATCACTCGCTAGTACACGAGTGACCGCCCATGATTCTAACACTGCCCTACTACTCACCGAAACCTTCCGTATGGACTAGTAACTAAACCGGAAGGTAAATAGTTGTTTCGTGGATCTTTGTTCATGGTAAATTACTTCTTGAATAAAATTGCATTCCTTAATTTTGCATGTAGTTACTGATGTAGCGGATTGAAGAGCTTTCTGTCGTAACCGTTTTGTCATGAGCCCTTCCGTGGTTAATATATCATCTATATATAAATGAATGGGCGAACGAGTCTTCTTTTTATCTTTGTAGGCCCAGTTATTAAAAAGACACAGGAAAATGAACCTATTGATTATTAGGGAACTGCTACGTCTGTCTTCAGTTTTTTCTTCAATATACTCCGGGTCGATCTACTCTTTCAGGGTCTGGCCTATTTATCGATGCTCTCTCTCCATTCACTGGATATTGATTGTGTACAACCAAGTATTCTAGTATATAGTAGATAATACAAAGTAAAATAGTTCGCCAACTCCAAAATGGTTACGGATACACTCTATTGGGTATATATATTGGAATAGTTTTACCGGTTCTATGTCCATACAAAATTTGAGGAAGAGGCGCCCTATTATGTGTTGGCGGGTGTGTTTTTCCTTCGCATGCATGAACTGATACATTGCTTGCTGGGCCAGCTTTTAATTGTTTTTCAACCACTTTCAGAAACCGAGTGATATTCCATGACCATGTATCCTCAACGCCTGGACGGACTCAGAGTCAAGAAGCGCACGAGATGCCAGGCCGGGTACGACAGAATTTACAGAAAATCCCTCGTGTAAACCGATCAATTGATTCATTACCTACCAAGCGAGAATTGTAAAAAGTCTTTCTTACATTTTTTGAATATGTACTTTCCAAACGACATTTCCCAGTGTCATTTCGGGTGCCTTTCGCTGACTGATTTTCACACCAGTTTCCGCAATAAGCTTGAGGTTAGAAACGAGCCTACCAGCTGCGGGGTCTGCAATAGAAGGCATCCCTTCATCATTCCACTGTGTATTTGGCTTGGCGCGAACTGACCTGCTACGACGCACCTAACATTACTAGTAAATGCAGTCCCCGGTGAATTGTTTAGGAGGTCGTATTCATTCCCTACCTACAGCTTGCGGTAAGATTATTGTAGAAATATGGGAGGAGTCCTATTGGCTTGCCCAGCCTCAGAAACCCTGTTTTTAGACCTCTGTTTCTACAATAGTTTTACCTCTCGCTGTACCTTCCTACTTCCTAATACATACTGTCGTTCACGGGCTGAAGAAGGACACAGGGCGTTGGACGGCTCGATTTCAACGAATAAGGGTAGTTGAAATGTACCACCTCTGTAGCTTGGCTGTTTGTCACTATAATTTCAATCCCTGTCCGCCAACACTTAGTGTTCGTCTCACCCTGTGAACGGTAATAATGTAGGGAATACCCTGTGTATCGTTCTCGCGGATGAATCTTGTCAAATTTGCGACATGGTTACAGCTCTTACCTAAATCGGCAACTTCCCTATGAACCATGAATAGTAAAAGTTTGCAGCCGATTGAATTATACACCACAAATTATTCCCCACGACAGCTATCAAACAACGGTTTTGGTACAGCTATCGGTAGAATTATTGCGGAAATGTGGCGTTGGAAAATCGCCCTGCTCTCGGCGTGATCGTCGGTCCCTGTTTCCACAATAATTCTACCGATAGCTGTATATGAGCGTATGTCGCGGATTTGACAATCTCATCCGTGAGAATGATTGATTTATCTGTTTTTGCCGGGGTAGGGGCTGGGGCGTCTTCACGGAAGCCCCCACCCGCACACATGAAGTTTGATAAAGCCTGAATGCAAGGGAGCGGAACTGCCCCGCACAAAACAGTGATCGGTAGGTATTTTGCCCTAGTCGCCACTAGACCAGGGCTAAAGCTTCCCAAATTCCCGGAGCGGGGGAGGGCAAACTGCTTGCATGAAGGTTGATAAAACTACACTAACTTCCTTCAAGTTGCATACCGCCACCAGCACCAACCGCGGCAACCCGTGGGATTTGTATCCAGGTATCCATCCCTGACATATTCCTGCTCCCCTGCGCTTCCGAGACAGGGCTCCACGATGATAAACTATAATTAGCGCCCAACCAGAATTAGCACTCAACATGGAAAACCTGGGGTGTGGGACGCTTTGAGTCAGAGTACTGTCATTCACGGGCCGATCGGATATTGTCAAACAGGGGATTTCAACCAATAAGAACATTAAAAAGCACGAACTCTGGACCATTGCTGTTTCTCACCATAGGTATGGCGCGAGAAGGCCTAGATGGCGGGTGTGTCAACTTCAGAGGAATTTCTTTGTATGGGAATCTGAGAAAATGCCAGGGTTAGTCTAGGTGCTAGTACCATTATGGCCAATTGGTATATGTTTGATTGCCTGATTCTTTGAAAAAACGCCGACTTTTACACACTTATCATACATAGCTTCTTGAGCCATAGCTGTAAATCTAGAATTCCAGCCAGTGCTCGCCAATACACACAGCCCGCGTGTACATGTATCACATAGTCGTAACCTGCATTAATGAATTAGAGAAAAACAAAATTGTCGTCACCCACGAGGTTCTCACTGGCAACGCGAGTGATGTTTAATGTCTCGGCTCCGTAAATATAGATTGAGGTCTGTGTTTTGGCGATTTCGATATCAATATTGTTCAGGACATCTAGAGACAGAAGAGTGCGACATTGGTCCCCACTGAAGATCACCTTCCTAATCTAGTAATTACTTGGCACCAAATGGCTCCGAAAATGGCAAGACAGACAATATATGCAAAGAAATTGGCCAGCCATCAGTGGTATATTCTCAATCGGGCAATTATGTACTAAAGTATTTCCTAATCTGGGAATAATTGGTATGGAAGTGCAACATTCAGTCAGCCTCTCCCCAAAAACCCAAATTTTAAAAAGTCAATAGCTCAACAACTACAACAGATAAAATTATTTGGGCTCTATTACAGTTTTATTTATCTCTTTTTCTATCACTATTCAGAGCTATTTTAATTTTAATCTTTTGTGGTAGTTGGACATGAAGCATCGAAGTTAGGCAATTTCGATATTCTAGCTCAAAGTGTCCCTAACCATAGAGGGAAAGATATGAGTTGGAAGTTATATTATTTTTTCCCCAATGCTAGTATAGTATTATTATAGTAGGTACAGTTGGTGAATCCTATATTTGGTGTATTTTTTAACTTTACTTCTAGTGCCAACTCCTTGATAACTATAAACACTAAATTATTTTTCTTCTTATAGAAAACTTTTTCTGCTTGTTATCTACAGTTCGATAGATAGATAATTAATTTATTATTATCCGATGAGGATTAGTATAAACCTTTTATAAAGCTAATTTTAAAAACTCTGGGATTTGCTTTTGTATTCTAATTTCTAAAAGCAGTTATTAATTGTATTAGTAATTACAAAACTGAATATAACGGGCACCTCATGTATAGGTTTTCCCAGCTATATCACTAATATTATCGAGAATTGGTAATATTAAACAAGTCACCTATCACATAGTTTTATGCACTTTATGTAACAAAATAATATAAATTAGCAGTAATTCACATGCTGAAGATGAACCCTGAGTGTAGACGAACAAGGATTTTTGGACAAATAGAAGACCAATTGGGTAGCTTGATTGTTTCTTGCCATATTGAGAACCCTAGTTCGTCTTCAACAAGTATTGGTCCTCACCTATGAACGACTGTATTCAATGCTAACATTTTTGAACTTCGGCACATCAGCAAGCCTAACAATTTCTGAAAGTGTCTCCTGTGCCTCTAGAGAATCAAAATCTGTTTTGATGTCTCAGAAGAACCTCAGGAGACACAGGAGACTATTGGGAGACTTATGAATATGTACAATCTTGCTGATGCAGTTAGTGCCAGTTGCTACCTGTTGCAGGAATTACGGGACAACGTTCTAAAAGTATAGGAGAATGAGGAAAACAAGTAGCAGATTGTGATATGAAGATGGTCGGGTAATGGAAGGACAAGCATAGAAAGATATCGGGTATTGTGGGGGCACGTGGTGTTACCAAAATAGTATTAGGTTATTGTGACGGCACGCTTACTATTGGGTATTTCACCTATAATAGAATAGGGAGTTGGGCTTAAGGCTGCAGGGTATTGGATTGAAGAAAGTAGGTCTCGTACAATCGTATAGTATAGCCTGAATATTGGTAACTGGAAGGTTCAAGGTTACGTGTCGGAATTAGAACGGAGGACGGTACTATGTGTGTGCGCATTTCTATTTTGGTTATCTTAGCGTTAATATTTGATTCTATTATCATAGTTTCAGTTAGCATTAGAAAGCGGACCTTGGCATAGGTTCCATCATGTATAAATAGTATAGAAGTCCCTACAGACTTGGGGGCATCAGCTCCTAAGTCAACGGAATCAGGTCTACAATATCACAAGTTTAAATGCTACAGAATTACAGCTTAGCATTGGCTACTTTCCCAAACTCTTCCATTTGTTGGCGGCTACAGATCTCTAACGCCGTGGTGGAAAAGTAGGGGATTGGATCGGAATATCCATGGTGACTTGAGTGTCGTGCTTCGGCAGGGTAACCCTGCCCTGTCTGCGAAGTACTGTAACAGGAGAGTTAGATGTTTTTCCCACGTGCGTACCCATGCTATATCAGGAAAATTTTTCAAATCGGGGTGATCGTATGTATACAACTTGTGCACGACAATAATGTGGTCTACTGGTACAATATTATCAAATACAAGTGGTTTCCGGCCTTCGGCCGGTTAGGACAATGAAATCAGCTAGGTAGTCTCGTCCAAATGTGACAGGTCGCTTGGAAATGTGATATATTGACAGAAAGTGATATATTACATGTACGCTAGGCTCACTCAGGACTAGCGCGCAGCATTGCTGGGTGAGGATCCCCAGATCGCTTCCAACTCCACCGCCACCTCTACCTCCACCTCCACCTCCACCTCTACCTCTACCTCTACCTCTACCTCTACCCCTACCCCTACCTCTACCCTACCCCTAACCCTACCTCTACCTCCGCCCCTCCTACCTGCCTCCATATTGACACCTATGCTAACGTCTATATAGACTCTTAATTCGACACCTAATTCACGCCCAAATCGACGCCCAAATCGACGCCCAAATCGACGCCCAAATCGACGCCCAAATCGACGGCTAGGAGGCATCAAATCGAGCACCGCCTCGAGCACCGCACCTAGCACCGCACCTAGCACCGCACCTAGCACCTAGTCGAGCACCGCAGCTAGCACCGCAGCTAGCACCGCACCTAGCACCGCACCTAGCACCGCACCTAGCACCGCACCTAGCACCGCACCTAGCACCGCACCTAGCACCTAGTCGAGCACCGCACCTAGCACCGCACCGAGCACCGCACCTAGCACCGCACCTAGCACCGTTTCGAGCACCGTTTCGAGCACCGTTTCGAGCACCTTTTCGAGCACCGTTTCTAGCACCGTTTCGAGCACCTTTTCGAGCACCGTTTCGAGCACCGTTTCGAGCATCGTTTCGAGCACCGTTTCGATCACCGTTTCGACCACTGGTGCAGGCGTAAGTAGGGGTGCAGGCGCAGGCAGGAATCAGGCGCTGGGAGGTGGTAGGCGCGGGTGCGGGCGCGGGTGCAGACATATGTACATAGCATTATATTACTATTATTACTCCGCATGGTTCTGTCATTGGTGATATCGGGTGAGGGTAGCGATTGACATTGGACGATTCTTGGGAGGTAGCGATGGACATTGGAGCGTTCCAGGGTGCTTGGAGCGGGTGATGGGGTGACGCGGGTACTGGAAGCGGGTGCTGCTAGCGGGTGCTGGGTGACACCGGTGCTGCGAGCGGGTGCTGCGAGCGGGTGCTGGGTGATACGGGTGTTGCGAGCGGGTGCTGCGAGCGGGTGTTGCGAGCGGGTGTTGGGTGACACGAGTGCTGCGAGCGGGTGCTGATAGCGGGTGCTGGGTGACATGGGTGCTGCGAGCGGGTGCTGCGAGCGGGTGCTGGGTGACACCTGTGCTGCGAGCGGGTGCTGCGAGCGGGTGTTGAGAGCGGGTGCTGGGTGACACGGGTGCTGCGAGCGGGTGCTGATAGCGGGTGCTGATAGCGGCTGCTGATAGCGGGTGCTGATAGCGGGTGCTGCGAGCGGGTGCTGGTTGACACGGGTGCTGGGTGCTGGTTCAGGTAGGGTAAGGCTGCTAATACGGGTGCGTCGCTGTCGTTGGGTTTCCCCTCTTTCCCTTTTTCCTTCGCAACACCATTCGCAACACCCTTCGCATGCGAGTTCAAACACACAACACATAAGAGAGAGTTCAAATAAGATAGAAAATCGGATATTTTGGTGCTTTGCCCTTGATATCCTTCTATACTTAGGAGTACAATCACTTGTTGTTGTTGTTTATTCCTGACTCACCTACAGCTTCTACAAACCCGATTCACTAGCACAAAAATGCCTCCTATCCGATCCAAAAGAATACCACCCCCCAAAGCATACAAAAAAGCCATCAATGAAATTGCTATCTATATAGCTAGCAAACCCTCTCTTCTGCAGAAAATCAGAGATAATAATATGGATTCTCTTGTTTCTTCTATTAAGAGAGAGTTCTGTAATGTTGCTGATGGAGTTAACGATGGCATTTTCAATGATATTTCAGCTTTCCTCAACCACCCCAAACAAATGAAGGAGCCGAATTGCCATCAAGAGTTAAGAGAAGCGATGAAGCATAGGAAGTATGAGAAGGAAAGAATTAAAAGAATCAAAGCTTTATTTGTGCAGGAGTGTAACCTCAAGGAGGACGATGCAAGGAGAGACAAATATTTGGAAAAGTTTACGATTGTGGAAGTAACCCGATATCAAACACCTTACCCTCCACCCAGTAATTGGGTGTATGAGTCCGAGCAAATCCATGACATTTGGCATGATCACCTCCAGCTTGGTAAGCCGAAGGACAAAAGGCTAAAAGTACCACCGATACTACTTTTGGAACCACAATATCTACAACTAGATGTTGCCGAGGACCAAAACTACATTTTTGTCCATTCCAACACCAAGGAAATTGTTGGATTGGTTGCTAGGAATTGGATGGCCGAGGGCAAGAAAGAAACTCTAGATTGGGTCAATGAGATTATTATCAAGGAATGTCAGGTCAGGAAATCAGTCCGAGTAAGTATTATTTCTTTCCAAATTTTACTATTGCGATTGCTAATTATTTTTTAGCTTGAAGATACTGGCAAACTTTGTCAAATGGGATATTCAGCTGGTTCCAGAAGCAAAGCCAGTTTCGATTGGGTTAGAAATATCACCTCCAAGAAAAACCGATTGGAAGACTTTGAGCACTTGGGCAGCTATATTTTTGCTCTTCTTTGGAACATGAGTAAGGGTAGATTGCCGAAGCCGATTATTGAGAATATAACTGGGTTTTGCAATTCTACCCTAATTCCGAGAATGAATTATGCTACTAAAGACAGGGCTACTTCTCAAATCTTGGGGAACTATACTGTGAGGGTGGGAGCCGATGACATTGAGTTTGACTGTGTTCCGATGGCACCTCCTTCTGGATTTATGGCATATAATTATGCAAGGTAATAGTCACTCCGAGTACTTATATTTCATTGTTACTAATTAATTATAGGGGTACTCATAATGAAAAGTGCCCTCATAAGTATGCATTGTTCTGGACTACAGCTAGGACATATGGATCCGAGGAGGGGGGTCACTTCTTCATTGCCGATTATGGAATCAGAATCAAACAGTCAGCCAATTCAGTAGTAGTTTGGAAGCCGACTGACTTTCATGGTACTACTTTATCAGTAAAAGGCCCTACCGATGAGTCTGATTCCCATCAAATTGGTATGAGTATTGTCACTCCTGTCCGATTGGTAAAGTTGTGGGAAAAATATCAACAGGAACAAATTACTGTCGATAATGTTGAGGCTATTTTGGTTGAGTCCGATGATTCCGAGGAGGAATAAATTGTTATTTCCTATATTATGTATTGTTATTATTGTTGTTACTGAAAATCTCCACTCCTGTATTAAGTACCGATAGTTTTAAAAAATTGTTTTAAAAAATTGTTTCAAAAAATTGTTTTAAAAATAAAAAAAAATAAGGAAATAAAATTTTATAACAAAAGACTTCTATATACAATATTTTTAACTTTGTTTTTATCCCCGATATCAATAACTGAAACATCATGATCCAATAAACATCTAATATGGTCTCTATTTCTGACTCGGGAAACACTCGTATACAGTTGACCATGTGCAAATACAGGAGTTCTGAGATCGATTACAGCTCTATCGAGTGTTAGGCCTTGACAACTATTGAAGGTTGTTGAGTATGCTAGTCGTAAAGGGAATTGTCTTCTCTGTACTGTCCAAGAGCAATATTTTGGTTGAAACTCAAATACGATTCGGGGGAGGCAGAAAACAGTTGTATCTCGCCGAATATTATCTGCAGTAGATATCAATTCAACTTTGACAAATCTTTCATATAGCTCTTTAATAACTACTCGGGAATTCTTAACCAAGCCATTCTCCAGTGACAGATTTCGCATAATCGAACAAACACACCCGACCTTCAAAACCAATTTGTGTGTAGGTACACCAGGCTCCTTCAACATAGATAGGAAATCTAGAATCTCCCCCGATGGTAGAATGTTGGTAGTCGGGGATTTGAAATTAGGATCTTCTTTGATGCAATCGTGGCTGTAGTATGTTCTTTCTGTAATAAATAATGTATCAGTATATTGTAATTTTTAATATTAAGGAAAATAAATATACATACCCTCCATTGTCGAGAATCTTTCAAGAATCGCAAGGTTAAATTGATCTACATTGATATTCAAAGGACTAAGAAAAGCACGATGGGAAACAATCGCTGGATTTTGCAATACTTCTGTTGGAAATAGAAAGTCAATTGCCTCCTCGATTGAGTTCAAAGACTCAATTAAATCCAGATTGACAAACGATTCATTTGATTCTTGACAACCATCTCCAATTTTGTCTACCCACTCGGCATATTCTAAATCAGAGGCATTTCTTATAGGTGTATTCAATCGTAAAATTTTGAATTGTTCCCAAAGGTAGGATGATCGTATAGATGCTTCAAGTGTAGCTGTTGGTCCTGCAGATTTAACCACTGGTGCTACCTGTCGAAAGTCACCTAAGACAAGAAATACTTTGCCACCAAATGGTTTGTCGTTGGCAAGCACGAGTTGCAAGAACTCATCTGCACATTCAATTGCTGCTTTGTTGGCCATAGGCATTTCCTCCCATATAATTAAACTTGACTTCGATAGTAATTTCGCCCGATCTGATCTGATACTCAAAGTCGATTGTAGCTCCATATTGTTCTAATATCGTAATGTCAGTGACTGACTTTACTAAAACCTTCTCATAGGACAACTTTACTTCAACGACAGGAATACCAAATGCAGAATGTGCAGTACGACCTCTCTCATATAGTGTAACACTCAAAGCTGTCGAACCAGTAATAACAACAATATCTCCTTGCCCTCTTAGAGAATTTACGATCGTATTTACAACATATGTTTTGCCCCGACCAGCTTTTCCATCAGAAAAAAACATGTATGTTCAGGAATCTCCCCGATTGCTATTTTATCGATATTATTCATGATAGTATCAAAAGCATCTAGCTGTTGAGGTAATAACTGTTCCCGAGATAATATTGCCATCTCAGTAAGTTCGATACTACGATGATCAAATGCAAGAGTCTCCATAGATATTTCATCTGTGAGGTTTTGAGGTTGGGGTAACCCAAAATCAGTTAACCTACTACCTTGAGCAGCCAAATGTCTTGCAATCCCCTCCAAACATTTATTCATAACCATTATCGGGGAATCGTATTGGTCAAGATAATCTGCCGAGAGAGCCTCCTGATATTCCTCGAACAATTCAATAGCTGTCACTGGAATATTCATCAGGAGATGTGCAAACAGGAATCGTAGCTGGTTAGGACTGCAAAAGCTTTGGACAGCTTCTGCCATAATTTCTTTCCCCTCCGACTGATTTTCGAAGAGACCTAATGCTGCTGCTGCCTCTTGGAATGTTGAGTATGTAATTTGATTGACAATTTTTAGGTCCTCGAAACAATAAGCTGATCGATGCAGTAGGAGAGCTCGCAGGTAGAATAATTCTCCAGTTCTAGGGGAGACTGTATCGATTCGGGCTATTGCTTCATTCCTTCTCCTAGCTCTTACAATAAACTATGGATAACTATTGCATATTTCTTCGAGGAAATCGGTATCTTTGAAAGTGGTTGACGACTTCGAGTACAGAATCCACTTCTCGTAGTATTGAATATAAGTCAAATCTTGGAAAACTGTATCTCGGGGCCTAGAGAAATATCTAAGCAAAGTCGATGCTGTAGATTCTCCACCATCCGTTCGATACATTTGATGCATGTTTCTTCTAGGTAGATGAACTGTAAGCGATTTGACTGTAGGCGATCGATCTGTTATATGGTATTGCAGGATCCTACATGCTGCCTCCGAAGCAGACAGATATCTCGCATTAATATAGTCATTGATCTCGTCAACCTCCTGCTGTCCTTCAACATTGAAAGAAAATAATGTTCGATCGGGTCCTTTAAATAAATATTTATACAGATACATGAAAATATTAACTGTAAAACATATATCGACATTAACATGACATTCTAGTAGCTTAGTAAGAAATGGCATATACGATGCTACCCATCGATCCTCTTCCTTTCTTCTTCTATACTGTACTCGACCATATTGATTAAGCTCTGTAGTTTCCCGAATCGCTTGTGGGTATCCCCAAATACAGGATCCATTTTTGTTACACCGACTGTTGGGAGAATTTAAATGTGTTTGGGGGTGTTGATTGAATCGTAGAACCAATTCTCGTAGGACAGGATCTTCCTCCTCTGTAGGTACTTCGGCAGAGACAATGGAATCAATAGCTGAGAAAGGTAACTCGGGATTCACCTAAAAAATTTTAGCATCAACCTCAATTGGGGTTTCGAATTATCTTACTTTAATAACAATATGTGCATGTGGTAACCCCCTTTTTTGGAATTCTATAACCCGAACAATGTAAACTATTGTTCCTAAATGGCTCCGAATTTTGGCAATGGCATTCTCTAGCTTTGCTTTAAATACCCGACAAACAATAATTGGTATATCTGAAGCATTCTGTCCTGGATTCAATCGTTCTTTAATTTCTGGCCAGTTAGGATTTGTTGTAATCGTAATAAAAAATGAGGGTTTGCCTCTTGACCGATAGATAGTAAGAGAGTTGGCAATCTCATTCGATGCCCATGCTCGGGAACCTAGGAAAGAGTTCGGTAGTGTCGTGCCTTTCTCGATGGGTAAATCACCTTCTGCCTCTGCAATTTCAGATTGCTGGTTGTATTGTCTCTCTCGTCCTTTTCGTATATAGGTCAATCTTTCATCTTCTACTCTCGAGTACATATCCACCAAATATTCTCCACACAATCTACCAAACCTCAGAAATCGGTTCTCTGTTGTGATTCTGGCTCTATACCATCGAATTTGACTGATATCGGATTTGCAGTCCCAACCAGGTGTACCATGAGGAAAGAAAACAGGATATTGTAATGGCTCGTAAAGGGGACTTAATATACTGATAGCTTTTGGACGATCGAGAATATTGTTGTAAACTAATACACTCCGAGGGTAGACTTTTTGTATATTGTTGGCATGTATAATCGCAGCAATTTCTCCACCACTTGTTGGTGTATATAACTCTAGTGTAAGTGGGGTATCTATTGCAGTGGTAAATGCTGCTCGGAGATGGTAAACAAAAGGATTGTTATCTTCTAATAGTTTTCGAAAGCTGATAACTAGGGAGAAGGGTACACCAAGCTCAAGAGCTAGTGAGTCTCTTGAATCCTCATCGTGAAGGAACCATCGAATTGAATGTTGCCCTTGGTTGGCATCCAATAACTGATGGTATACTCGTCCTGTTATAGCAACATTTGAAGGTGTCGGTAACTGCCGAAATCCACCTGTAACTCCTAAAATTGAAAATGAAAAAATGTTGTTGAGTTTTCGGCTGATCCGACTCAACTGAGTGCCATGTTGCTCAAATTCAGTTTCGGTATCGGGAGGATATACTGGTAGGGAGGGTAATCGATATTTCCCATTAGTACAACACCAACCATTATTCTCACTAGTCAATAAGGCTGCACCACAATAAGTGCATTGTTTTGACCAACTAATAATATATGGTCGTAGATGAGTTGTTTTTATAGGTAAAATATCCCACCAATTGCTAGTTGATGATTTTGTTTCTATATTCAAGTTGCTTTGGCTTTGGGTAGTTTGTCGGCGATTTGTAATTTGATTTCCAGCTCGGGAATTTAATCGCCTCTCAATTCGGTCCAATTGGGAGTTGGAGCCTTGAGAGTTTCTATTTCTTCTTGTTCGGATACGATTGGAATTTCTGAGATCATTGGTTGATTGTATGGAATTGGTTCTTGGCATATTTGCATTAAATATTGTACTGTAATATAGAAATCTGTTCAATAAATTCCTAAAGAGGGATACACGATAATTATATATATCCTTGATAATAATATACTCTCCTGACTAAAAATAAAATAGCTAACGATGACTCAGAAAACTATATATCCAATACCAAACTTATACTACTCGGAACCAACATCCTCAATTATCTCATCCTCAATCTCCTCAAACTCGTCATCGACAGAACAGTCATTAGCTACACTCGAAGCTTTCTTTTTGGCTGGTGTAGTAGGTTTGGAAATAGAAGATGAGCTAGCAGTGATCTTTGGAGGGGGGGGAGAACTTGAATACAAACTTGAATCATCCATCGCAGATCTTTTCTGAGCCCGAGCACCCCAAGATCTTCCAACATTTTTGGACTCCGATCTACCTGAAGTTTGTCCAAGAGACCCACCTCCCGATCCAGATTGCATTACTGAAATATAGTTTAACGACGACACTATACAACCAAGAAAAGAATGTGATGCTAGTGATGAATTATCAACGATTACTCTACCAACTAATCTCCCACTGATTTGAATTACACTATCGACTTGGGGTAATTTTGTGCTCTCCCACCTCTTTCCTGGTGGTATATACCACCTGATTACAAAATACTTTCGGGAAGCTGATTTGGAGGCAGCCTCTAAATCATAGTAGGAGGATCGTAAATCAAAGGATCTCCAGCCTATAGGGAGAGACTTGATAGTACCCTTAGGTTGTCCTACAACCTTCCCGACTGAGTATATAGTGGCACAAGAGGGTGCAGGGGCTATATCGTCAAATCGTGGATGTGTCGGGTCACCAGCAAATCTAAGTTAAATTTATTAGTTCTAATTTAATACACAGTAAATCAAATTACTTACTCGCTTTTATTCAGTAAAGTAATAACAACTGGTTTGTCTTTACCCATATCGCAGAATCTGCCTGAACATATTCCAACAGAGTTTTCGGTGGATTCTGCAAGAGAATCGCTGACAAAACAAATGATTCAGCATGGTATATCTTCCTCATCGATTACTGAATTTGGTAAATCATCGCTCCAGCAAAATAAAGTAGAATCGTAGATTTTGAGATAGCCAGTTTTGTCTGTCTTATTGGTAAATTCAAGCATGCAGTGAATTTCGGTAGAAGCATTCTCGTTGAATATTTGAGGCATCGTGTCAAAAGATATTGTAGGCAGAGAGTTTGGAAATTGATTGTTTAACTAAAAAATAATGTGCGATCAAGAGTAACTTTAAACTATAACTCTAACAATCAAAACTCTGACTAACCCTAACAATAATAGAAAGACAACGTAAGATTTCCGTATTGGCAATAACATCATTAGCAATAACATCATGAGCAATGACATCATTAGAGGGAAAAAGCAATGTCCCTGCCCGGATTCAATAGAAGGAGACAGGAAACTCCCCGATTCGCCACTAACAGCAATAGAGGGAAAAAGCAATGTCCCTGCCCGGATTCAATAGAAGGAGACAGGAAACTCCCCGATTCGCCACTAACAGCAATAGAGGGAAAAAGCAATGTTCCTGCCCCCGAATCGCCACTAACAGCAATAGAGGGAAAAAGCAATGTTCCTGCCCCCGATTCGCCACTAACAGCAATAGAGAGAAAAAGCAATGTCCCTACCCGAATTCAATAGAAGGAGATAGTAAACTCCCCGATTCGCCACTAACAGCAATAGAGGGAAAAAGCAATGTTCCTGCCCCCGAATCGCCACTAACAGCAATAGAGGGAAAGCAATGTTCCTGCCTCCGAATCGCCACTAACAGCAATAGAGGGAAAAAGCAATGTCCCTATCCGAATTCAATAGAAGGAAAAAGTAAGGTCCCCGAGTTGTTGCTTATATCAAGAAAAAATAATATTATCAAAATATTACTACTCAAACTACCTAGAAAAAGCAATCTAATACCTGGCCAATCAAAACCTTTAAATAACACATTGCATATCGGTATATCTATATACTTATTAGATATTCAGGGGACAGTAGGTGATACAGCAATTTGAATGTACTTTGGGCACCTCGATCGTCAATACGTAATGTATATAAATTAGTTCTTTACTGTCTGGTTACCTATAGTATGTTCATATAAAAGCTGAATAACAAATTTTTTAAATTGTATATTCATAGGAATATTGTTTTCCGCCGTGCTTTCCTACTCTAAGCCGTGAATATGGTGTAGCTATTCTCATTTGACAAGCCGGCGCTGAACATTTGTGATTTTTATTTTTGGTTAATTACGACGTATACGTATATGGTGCGCCCTGTCTCAAATGTGACACCTCTTGACCCGTTATTTATTTATTTTTTGAATCAACCCCCGAAAATTGTGTTAGAACCACGTTACAGAGACCCAAAAGTCTCTATCACTTAGACTTCAAACTCCACCACAATGCCAAGCCCACCCCCTAACATGGTCAAATCCCTCTCCCACCTGAGGTTAGGAGGGCTAGATGACGACCTTATGGACCTGATCAACACCAACGTTCTCTCCACCCAAGCTTTTGAAATGCTCAACGCCGAAGCCACCAGACACACCGAACGCCTTTTCCTCACTCTCATGCTAGCCATAGTCAACCAGAACGCCATCCACCAAAAACAAGTCGAAGAACTCAAGGACGATATCGAAGAAATAATGACCAAGCACGCCAACCTGACTACGGCGATCGCAAACTGTTTCAAGCGGATTGACAGTCGCCACGCCACCCCTCCCAATGCGACCCCCCCCCCCAGTGATCACACTAACCCGCACTCCACCCAAGCCCCACCACCAACTACAACCCGAGAAATGCCTCCCGCAACCCTTCAAACACCCAAGCCCCCAAGTCCTATCGACAAGCAGCGCAAGAAAACTTACATCAATGGGAAACCGTCTCCAAGTGAGGACGCAACAAAATCCCAGCCCCCTCCCAGATACCGAAAAGCGCGGCAAACCTTCTAGCATCCCAACGCTGCTTCTTCACCACCAGGACATCGCCCACCCCCATCGACGTAGCTGAGCAGGTAACAGCAGAACTATCCGTCGAATTCGGCCAACTACTCGCCTGAAACAAACAAGTCACACCTGTAACAGCCCTTACAGTCTCAATCAGTGCAAAAGGAACTCTGCCTGTTCTTCACCCACCCACCATCTCATCCTCAACCTATGCACACTGGTTCGAAGCCATGACAGGCGTACTAAACAACAAGCTAACCACCCCCGAAAAACCCTTCTCCACCTTCGGCCCGGCTTCGACCGATGTCGATATCGGCATTCAGAGCGTAACACTCTTCGTGATCCAAAACAAAGAAACCCTGGACAATGCCTTCCCAGAAGTCTTCAACCTCACCTCTGGCATTACCCCGATCACCACACGATTCTTCAATGAGGATGTCACCTCCCAAAACTTTAAACCTAAATCCACTGTCGTTGTCACCGTTTCCTCCACCGATGCCGTCTCAATCGGCGACACAATCCGATTTTACTCCAGGCCACACTGGTGCGTAACCATATGGTCGGCCTCCCCCCCTACCCAATGCAAGAAACACTGGAAATTCGGCCACGCGACCCAAGGATGCTGTGAGAGTTTCGAAACCTGCCCAATCTGCACCAAACAGCACGACTGCCGCAGACACCGTTGCGTAAAGGGCACCTGCCCAGGGTTCCTAACACTCATGACCTCATGCTGTTCAGTCTCACCAGTAAAATGTGTAAACTGCAATGGAAACAACGCGGCCAACTCCAAAACATGCCTCACCTACCTCGCCATGATCAATAAGAGCAAAGCAAACCTCAACCTCAACACCAGCACCCTAGCCCCCCCAACACCACATCCACAGCTATGAGACTCACCTCAGAGGATGCCCCCCCCAACCCACCACAACAACAACTACAAGCCCCTCAGCGGACCTCTCCGCCTCCTCTACAACTCAATCCTAAAAATATTACAGATACAGCAACAGACTCATCCTTCCTCCACATCATTCAACACAACTGTACAAACAGCAACCTAGTGCTCCTCACACTCTTCCCAATCCCAGTGACCCATCAAGCCCACATAGTCGCAATTCAAGGACCCCCCCTCCACAACGGAGAGCCCCCCTCAGTGCCGTCCTTGACCCTACTCTGCCCTTCACCCAGAAGACCAGAAAACAAAATCTCATCATGCAGCTACCTCAACACCAACATTCTAAACAAAAACCTATTCGCCATTCTCCCATCCCACAGAGGTGATATCATCTCCATCAACCTCTTCTGCCAAACAAGCACCAAAACTCACTCAACCCTTACAATTACCATTATCTGCAACAAAAAACTAGACAGTACCACCCACTCACTCAGCCCCTCCACTATCTTCATCCCATCTGACAACCCCCAACTAGTCTTCTGGGACTTCAACCTTCCCTCCCACTCCGCTGACGCCCTCCACCTCCTCTCCTGAAGGGAACTCCGCCTCTCGCAACCATACATAGAATCAGCAAGCCAACACGGCTTTCTCCTCGTAAATACGCCATACAAATACAGCAGACTATCACTAGACTCCAACAAAAGGCACAGCATCATAGACCTCTCCTTCACCAACATCCAAGACTCACCCCTGATCAGGATTGGACCACCCTATCAAACGCATCAGGATCTGACCATAGACTCATCATCATCTCACTATCACTCCCATCCACGGACCACGCCACATTCCAAACCCCCGACTAGAAACGAACAAATTGGGCTCTCTTCAACAACGACATCAGACAAACCTCAATGATTCCTACTCCTGCACATCATAGTCGGATACGAATAGGCCTCTGGCCCTGAATCGCAGAAGGACGGCACCGGGGTCTTGGGCGGAAGAGCCCGAGGCCCTCGCCGTCGTATGGCAATTTGACAATGCGCAGGGATAAATCCTTTGCAGACGACTTAATTGCACGACTGGGTGCTGTACGTGGTAGAGTAGCCTTGTTGTTACGATCCACTGAGGCTAAGCATACGTCGTCCAGATTTGTTCCAGATGGAACGCTCAACTCTTTACACCCCCCAACAGGCCTGGCAGGCTGCGATTGCGTGCCGCTTGGTGGTGGATGTGGAGGGCTTGACAGTGGGAGACTGGAAGGACACCAACAAAGTACTCCGACAAACACCGATGCGAGGCCCGAGTGCGAGGCGTTAGCATAGCGAGTGGCGTCGGGTTGAAGCTGCGTGATGGGCCTCCGCGTTCTCTCTCAGAGCTGAAGGACACCAACAATGTACTCCAACTGCACCCGATGCGAGGCCCGAATGCGAGGCGATAGCGTTGGGAGCGGGGTTGGGTTGAAACTGCGTCATGGGCCTCGGTTCTCTGTCCTGCCTGCGGTCCAGCATGAGCAT